AAGAGGCATCAAACTATAGGAAAGACAACAGGAGGGTGAAGAGACATCAAACTATAGGAAAGACAACATGAGGGTGAAGAGGCATCAAACTATAGGAAAGACAACAGGAGGGTGAAGAGACATCAAACTATAGGAAAGACAACTGGAGGGTGAAGAGGCATCAAACTATAGGAAAGACAACAGGAGGGTGAAGAGACATCAAACTATAGGAAAGACAACAGGAGGGTGAAGAGACATCAAACTATAGGAAAGACAACAGGAGGGTGAAGAGACATCAAACTATAGGAAAGACAACAGGAGGGTGAAGAGACATCAAACTATAGGAAAGACAACAGGAGGGTGAAGAGACATCAAACTATAGGAAAGACAACAGGAGGGTGAAGAGACATCAAACTATAGGAAAGACAACAGGAGGGTGAAGAGGCATCAAAACAATAGGAAAGACAACAGGAGGGTGAAGAGACATCAAACCAATAGGAAAGACAACATGAGGGTGAAGAGGCATCAAAACAATAGAAAAGACAACAGGAGGGTGACGAGGCACCAAAAAATAGGAAAAAACCTAAACAGGGCACAGAAGCACATACAGCCAAGAAAGGAAAAAAAGTAAAATAAAAGAGACATTTAGATGAAGGTGGACTCATCCAAAACTCAATTAAAAATAATGGCACATCCTTAAAGATTAAAAATCCATAAGGCCAGGAGCTCCTGGTTTTGTTATTCTAAAAATCTTAACAGAACATGATTAGAAATCACATTTTACTTGGTAATTTAGGTGTAGTTAGGTCTTAGGTCGTATTTATTTATTAGTTGGGTTGGAATATTGGCAGGGACATAACATCTGTACTTTCTGCAGGAGTTGAAATTGCACATTGGATGATGCAATCTTGCAACGTGTTGAACAAGACGTTTACATCATTAATTACTGACAAGGAGACAGGAGGTTTATATTGTGTAAAAAGTGTAAAAACCTCTTGAGGTGCGGGTCTCTCAAACACCTGACAAATATCCTGTTTTATCGACCTAACATGTCTGTAACATTGTTTCTCAGACAACATTGCCAACCTGTCCTAGACCCACACTAAATTAATTCATCATCATTTTTATTTACACAAATATTAAAAAAAAAAAACCCAACAAAATATGGAAGGATGACATTTATTACCATCAATATTAAACTTAATTTTCTTAATGCTCACCGTTTTTACATGTTTACTTTGAAAAGTGAAAACCTTGCAAATATTTTTTAGTGCAAATTTGGATAGGGACTTTTTAAATGTTGGGTTAAGTTTCCTATAACAATGAAATCACCTGTCTGTGAAGAAATTGCTTGATTTAGGAATTGTCAATCTTTACTACAACCAGGGCTTCTATAACACAGCCAGTAATCTTTCACGCTTCAGTTGTATTATAAAAATTCTGACAAATGCTGAAGATGTGGAGATCTATTCATCACCAAGCTGTCAAACAGTATTTGAGAAACCAGCATTTCGTAAATCTCTGATGTAGGAAATTAAACTTTGATGTTATCATGCCACTTGAAGTCAATGACCGGAAATATTCAGGTCTGTTAGTATACATGTATATAATTAGTTTTCTAACCAAGTCTGGAGAAAGTCATTATTAGCCCTACCTTGTGGGAGCCCCCAGTGGAGGAGGAGACAGTTAAGCGGCTCTCTTTATATTAAGAAACAGAAAATGTTACAAGGTGTTCTAGCGAGCTGTTCACAGATGAACAGTGCATGTTGTAGTTCTGGTGATGTTGTGGTATAATGGGTACTGATGCACTGCTTTGCTGATGTAGGTACAAATGACAGCAGCCTTGCCCTGACACGATCCCATGATCAGATAGCAGTTAAGATTTCTTGTCATAACAACAATGATTATGATATGGGACATTAATTTCTCACAACATTATACATCTACAGTACTTTTTACACATATATTAAAAATTATGCTATTCTTAAGTCCACAGATCGAAAGATTTGAGACATCTTTTCTTTTTTTGTTTTTTTGTGCTATTTGTATGTCTGTTGTCAATTTCAACCTTGCCTATAACTATTGCATCGTAAGAGGTAAGGCTTTCAAATTTTTGATATGTCTGTTCCTGTCGAGAAGACCTTTCTGGTGATATCAAAGTTTTTGCCCATGTGACCTTAACCATGACCTTTGACATACTTATGAAAAAATCATTACCACAATGAGGATGTAGGTTGGAGGGGGTAGGGGGGGGATGGAAATAGTGTTGCTGACATCAAACAGGAAATTTACTGATTAAACTTATATTATACTGTATAAAGTTTTGATTAATTCAAAGATTTCAGATTGTTGTAAAGTTGTCATGGGTATTTAATGACACCTCCTGATACTTATATACATATCAAATACTGACTTAATGAAAAGGTTAACTGATATAGCATCTGTGTAATTAGAGACAGATGAGGCGTTACTGCAACCAAAAGATTGATCAGCAAATCTCGTCGAAATTTGCATGACATCACACTATGGTTGTAAACAATATAATCAGTCCTGTGTCACTGTTAATAGCATTTTATATTACTGTAGCACTTTGAGTTTTAGAACAGAAATCGATAGATTTCACGTCAGGTAATTTGATACGGCCATTTCTGATGTCACTTGTTCGGTAGGTTTTAGTGCTGTCGAATTCCGGGCATTTGAGAATTAAGATACAAGTTGTTTACACTTTGCTGTTTTGTTTCTATATAAAGAACTCTTTTGTGTGAAGGTTTTGTTGCTCTAAATGAGTCTGTATTGATTAATTGATTGTAACAGATGGATATTTTGAAATCACTGTAGAACAAAATCGATATTTCTAGATTGTTTCTCTTAAAGTCGGGACATCAGCATTCATGGAATAATCATGAGGGAGATGGTCTCCTGGTTTTATCGTGCTCACTTCTTCATGTCCTATAAACTTCAGGAGTGACTGGTGTAACGAAAAATCTGCTTTGGCTGGGGTTTGGAAAAGCAATTATGCATAGATCTGTGATTCTAGAATTTGTTGCCATGGAAATGTATTTTGGTGTGAGGGTTATTTTGATCGTGCTTCCTGTGTTTAAGATCAGAAAGGTCGGATTTGTTGTTATAAACAAATTCTTTTGAAGATCAAAATGCTTTGAGTTTTGATATTTTGTTAGAGTTTTCTGTCATGAAATTTTACTTACACAGAATTTTACAACCGTAAAATGACCATGGCCTAAAGCATTATATTTACATATTTATACTCACTTACTAACAACGTTTGTTAAAATGGTGTCCTTGACCTTCTGTAATGGTAAAATGGGATTGTATCTGGGAACATTCATAAGACATCAAAAGGACTAAGATACGTTAAAATCCTAAAGAAATTTAAATATTTTGATTACTTCTGTCCTTAGATTTTTGGACCCAGTCAGTAGTATCTTGGCCATGATCAGTAGTGGAAGGGCGAGGTCAAGTTTGAGTGTGTGTATATAAGGTCCTTTATAATCAGAATCACTAATGTTTTGGATACTGAAAGTCACAATTTTTTTCAGAGATTAAATTCTCCATTAATTTTTTATAATTCTACATTTTTAAGATAGCTAAATTATTTGTCTAATTCTAGATTTTTAAAATAACTTATTTTTTTTTTAATTCTGGATTTATCTATTTTCTCAGAAATATTAAAATGCAAATCAAAATTTCACAAATGGTTTGATTGGTCTGAGTTTAGATGTATATATCAATATACTTTATTGATATTTTTTTTTCTCCAGCATTGATATACAGTCCACCTACGTCTGAAATTAAAGTCAGAAAACCATTATCATGAAAATGTAATCTCAGGCATCAGTAATAACGTTAGAGGTTTTTTATTAGTTTTTATCCGGACAGCTAACCACCTATTTACATCGATTTTACTGCTGTTCGTACTTGTGTGAAATTCGCATTAGCTTAAACTGTTGGTGATTTGTGTATTGAATAGACATTGCATTAACTAGAAGGATGGTGTCTCTTTGCCGTTGGGCTTTGAACCGTTGCTAGAAATAAATAAGCAGAAGATTGCTGACATTTACACAATGAAATCGGCCTCTTACAGATGTTGGACGCAGAGTGCTGTTTAAATACTAAATGGATGTAATCAATAAAATTGAACAAACTGGATAAATGCCGGTGACGTCTTTAGGTTGTCTAAATGCTAAATAATTATTTTCATTCCTGTTAATAAGATAAAAAGGAAGGCATTTTTGTCCTCGCATGATCAAAGGTCAAGGTCACTGTGGATAGATCAAAATATTTTTATTTTCACTGAAAAAAATGCAAAACAGTTTCCATGTATCTGGACAGATTTGTTTGAATTTAAGATTTGACATACCAAGAAATTTTGATGTCTTAAAGATGGTTAGTCGGCCATTTTAAGAAATATTTTTGACTACTGATAACACAGCAAAACAGAATGATGTTATCAACATTTGATATTTGAAGAACACATACCTAGTTATTGTTTACAATTTGTTTACTCCTAATAGCTAGACTATAATATAAATTTCAGTGCACTGTTTAGTTCTGAGGACGAAATATTACTGTACTGTAATGTTGTTCAACCCTTAGTGCAAATTTCTTACCTATCTATTTTGTGTTTATTTGTTAAGTTGTTTCAAAGCAATTAAAAAAAGATGGTTTAAAAACTGCGAAAATGCTAAAGTAGAAATACTCGCCACTACACAAAATAGATATATTTATGAATAGTAGACTGGAACAAAGGTGTTGCAATGCTCGAACGGTTAAGATGTTTTGCAGTCTTTATCACTTACCTGTGGGTCACTGTTTCGAGACCTACGTGTGGGAATTGCCAGGTACTAGACAAGGGTTGGTGAATTTTCTCAGTCTTGAAAAAGACTGACGTGAGTTTGAGATTTAGTCACTCAATCTTTGAATTCTTTTGAAATAATGTTTAATTTACCTTGTTCTCAAAAGGTTTAGACATACATGATGAAATTTGTTTTTTGAATTTTCAGGTTGGCTTGTCAATTCTAGTTTGGGCTGGATGTGGTGTTATCTCCCTTGTTGGAGCTCTTTGTTATGCAGAACTTGGTACCACCATCACACGATCTGGAGGTGACTATGCTTACATGTTGGAAGCCTTTGGGCCTTGTATGGCTTTCCTACAACTATGGGTAAGTTTACTGTTTTCTTTAAAGATCAATTTGTCAAAAAAAAAAAAAAAAAAAGAAAACTGCTGAGGTGGTTACTTTAAATTTGTTATATTTTGTGTTGGATTTATTTTCATGTTAATATGCGGGGATAGTCAATCGCGAATTGAAATCCCTCGCAATTATTTGTACTTTTTGATGACATCCATGCTGATTTAGTTAATGATATTGGATTATCTAATAGCTTATCATTCGTGAATTCAAAGCTGTGTATATGTATTCACAAATACGTCAGAAGAGGTTATTTTTGCGAAAATAAAATATTCACAAAATCAAAGTGATTTACAGGAATTTCGTCCTATTATTGAACTGGTTATCGTTTACTACAGGTTAGCCCTACCTTCTGTGCCATGTTAGTAGCTTAAAAGGATACGTTGGAGGCTTGATAAACATCTTCCATTTGGATAGTGTCAAGTCATGATCTGTAAATACCAAACACCTAAATATCACATGCTCTCTGTTTGGGGTCAGTAGGCAATTAGCAAGAAATATACAGAGTCAGGTGACAGTAGAATTGAAAATGCAATACATATTTCAACTGCTTCATTGAATGGTGTTAGTTTTTTTTGTTCTACTTCGTTACATAAGATTCTGGTCTTGTGACAACATTGAAACAATATCTGTATTTTCATGAGTCTTGTATAAACTTTTGATGTTACAGGAATGAGGAAGTTATTATTGAGGTATAAAATTCTCAAGCTATGAGATCAAATCAGCAATAAAGAATTAGAAAATAAATTTTTATATTTCATCACAGATTTTGTATAGAATTGGAACATGTCGCTTTCTGGACATTTAACCGAATTTTATGTTCTCGGAACATCATGCATATTCGCCTGTCTCGCTTGAATAAACAAACACAATCGTTCATATGATTGCATCACTCCCTGATATCTATACTTTTGGGTGCAATATGACACCTTGATGAAGGCTATTATCTTCCTTAATTAGTGTGGAGGTTCTATTGCAAATAGAATATACCGAAAATTTCAACGATGAGAAAAAAACGTGTCTTAAGGAAAATACTTTATATTGAAGATTCAGTACCAATCCTTACATTTAGAGAATTGTTTCTGCAGATGTTTATACTTTCAACTTGCATTCCACATGTTCATCTGTGATAATTAAAAGTAATTTGTTCAAATCCGGAAATCATTGCTTTTGACGGCTTTCATTTTTACTGTATGTTTTGTAAAGCCATTGGAGAAAGGCTTGATTGAAAGCTCTTCTGTTGTGTTGAATTGATACAGAAATGAAAAATCATTCTTTTGGAATATTGTAATATTTTAAGGATATTTTCTTTTTAGGCTAACCTTATCATCATACGACCTACAGCACAGGCCCTAGTGGCGTTGACCTTCGCTTACTATGTACTGCAACCAAGCTTTTCGACGTGTGACCCCCCTCTCATGGCTCTGAAGTTGCTGGCTGCCTTATGTATCAGTAAGTTTTTCTCATCAATTTTTAAATTTGGTTAGTCTTGTACTCGCATGCTAGCAAGTTTCCTTGAGCAAATCTTACTCACTGTGATATAGGGACATCAGACTCCATAAAAGATAGGTAAAACTTAAGAAGAAGGGGTGTCACATGTACCCTGAAATGAGGTCACGTTGACCTTTACTTGAACTTGACTTAAGATACAAAAAGCAGCATAAGTCAGATTTCTTGAGCATATTTCAGCTGCCGGTTCATGTGTGACAGATGTACCCATGAAGCCCTAGCCCAAGTTTCTTAAATCTTGTTATCTAAGGGAAATATTGATGTTTTTGAAGCAATTTTCCATATATTGCTCAAGCATGTTTGACAGCATGGCATTGAAAAAATAAGAAAAATAATAGAAAAATTACAAAGTTGAAAGTACATCAATTTTGTCCTCATATAATGTCACTACACTGAACAAGAAGAAAAAATACAATTTTGAATTAGCCACTATACACAATATTGTACAGTTTTGTTTTGTTATTTGTTAATCATAATTGGGTCAAAAACTGCGAATATAAATTGAAATCAAAACTGCCATCTGTCACTATTTCATTCTTCAGTCCATTTGAATCCAAATAGAAAAATCTGACAATTTTAATGCAGTATATGGAAATCTCCATTCTGATTGGTTAGAATTAAGAAGATTAATATTTTGATATCAAATGGTGATGATACATTTTAATCAGATTGATAATATGCAGATATTTTTGTGGTAGAAAATCTGATACATTATATCAGATGTCAGAAATTGAAGTGACAGAATTTTTCAAAAATCATATCATAAAGATGGAAATGTGACAATTTCTGATATTTATGCGATAGAAAATCGTTTAAGTTATATCAGAAAGAGGGAAATATCCTTTTATTACACATATAATTATGAAAGTTGTTTGTAATTGTACAATAAATGTTAAAAGTATGAAAAGTTGTAAAGGATATGGAGCTCTCGAGTCAGAATTCTGTATTAAACAGGGTACATTTACCGGGTTGGTAAACTACTATCAAGAACAATGGCATCTATTGTTTTTGTATACACAGGTAAATTGCAAAAAATGCCCAAGTGAAATCAATTTAGGTTTAAGATTACTAGTTACCAACTGTATACTGGGGGTATATATGGTCACGGTCTGGTAAAGATATGGAGATGTAGGTCACTTGTGGTGCTTCAACTTGAATTATTGTAAATATGTGTAAATATGTAGGTTGTGTTATGTGTAGTCTTTGTGATTATTCACTAGAAAACACAGATATTTCTAATAGTTAAATGGTTATACACAGCTTTCTTAAAGACAAACTCAGTAGTTCAAGGTCGTCTGACCACATACCACTATACCTGTTTGCATTTGAAGGGGTTCTCACTGTGAGTGTGTCGACATAGACATACTTTGTCATGGCATATGAAAATAAAGTAAGTAGGCATTTCTGTAATTGATCAGTTTGAGGGAGTGTAATTTTCAAAATTATTTTTTAGAAATACTTCATATAGATGTTTTAGTGTTAACCTTATTTTAGGTTTGTACAGGAAATGTGCTAAAAATAATTCAGCTAATTGCAATTTCTGATTTTTTTTTATATAGCAATCATAATGGATGTGCTAATTCATAATAATTTTTTTATTGTTTTTTATAATAAAATCACAACTTATTTTAAATCTATTAATGTGCCCCAATATGTCAAGCAAAGAGCCCTTAATTACCTTTTTAATAACATCAAACCATATATAGTGTTGTTTTGTTGCAATGACCAGCAAAGGGCCTTCCATATGTTGTTCATTGAGGTAGTCACCAGGTGTCGAACCCCTGACATATACTTGTAGCAGGATGTTTGTATTATATATTCTATTGGTGTAATGTTATTTGTATGTAAATGTGAAACAAATAAAGATTTCTAATTTGTTTTTATCTTTTTGCTTAATGCTTAAAAAACCTGTAACCCAATTAGAGTTTTGTCATCTACAGTCAATGTTAACTTGTCAAAGGTCACGTTTGACTACTTTTGTTAAATGAAAAAGATGAGGGGATAGGACCTCGGGTGTTATGTCTATATATATTTGAGCCCATACTATCTTCCTTTTGGTTTTATTCTGAATGAATTGTGTGCAAATTCTAAAATTTATGAAAATGGATTCATGATAATGCTGTAAAAAGTTCACTTTGAAGTAGAGAATTTCTACCGAGCTAAATAAAGATTCTCTCTGAGTCATAATTAATGCAAATATTTTGCTGAACAAACAAAAATACCTTTGAAAAGCAAAACTTAAGAATGAATGATATATTGGGCCTGCGATAATATCTGTTTAGTTCTAATTTTTTTTATAATGTATCAGTTGGTCAACTTTTTCTATAAATACGCAGTGCCACTAATTTTATGTCTCATATTTCTGACATGACAGACATGTCATTAGCACGTGTCCTGTATATTTTAACTGGTATTAGTTTCACACAAAGAAAATAGATATTGACATATCTAAGATCTCCTGTAAATTATTCAAAATTCAACTGTTTTCTATAGAGCATATTGAGATTGAATCTAAATTTCTGTTTCCTTAATTTGTTACATGTTCAGAGTCAGTTGTTTTTTTAGTATTTATCATTTTATCAAAATCTGTTATAAAAATTGTTATGGCGCTGCTCGCACTCTCTGAATACCAAAATAGAAAACAACGGAATGATTTGGGATTTTGAAACAGAAAGAAAGATAGGTCCAGGCCTCGAAAAATGCCATTTGTCACATTTTATATTCTGATGTATGTGTGACACATTGATTGATAAAACAAATGTATAAAAATTCAATTTTATGATACAAATTTAACTTTCATGACAGAACTATGAAATATTTAAAATTTACCTACATTAAGCACCATTAAGATAAGACTGACATAAAAATAGTAACTTGTACTATCGACATTTTATTGTCTACTCAGTTTAGATTTATGCGTTCTCAGAACTTTTAGAAAACTAATGCCTTATTGTGTAAACTCTTTCATGACAGAATATTATTAAACAGGTACCCATAAAAATGACAACCTAACCACATCCATTTTGTATAACGATATTTTAAGTTATCTTACCTCACCACCACGTGAAATGACCTGTTACCAAATATACTTAGCGTTTAAACTCACATGATATCGCCTGTCAAAATCAGACATTGTTGTCAAGTAATGACCACCCACAAAAAAAAATGTATCCACATGACCAAATCTTCCTCGAGTTTTTGTCAAAAAATCTGGGTCTGTTATTTTTTACTGACACGTGTCTCGTGTGTACCATTTTTTCTGTCACATGACTTATATTACAAATTAACTTTTCTGCCCATTTGTACAATAAAATTTTGCAAGTCTTAAAACCAACGATGACAGAAAAATTATCCGAGTATATTTATCGTATGTTTGTATGAAGATAGGGTTTCTCGTGGGACCAAGTAGATCAGGAATGCTTAGAGGTACTTGTATAAAGTTTATTCAAGACTGAAATCTTGATTTGTATAAAGATGTAAATTGGGGTGTAATGTACCCACGGAAAAGTTCATTGGAACCGGGAAAATTGATTATATAAGGAACTTAGCGTTATGAGCACATCGGCGAATTATTGATACATCTTCATGTACTGTTAACTACTGTTACAGACGATTTTAACATAATATCTTAAAAAAAAATTTATATTATAGCTTTTGAAAGCTCATAAAATTACGATGATGAACATATTATGACGGTATATCTCATTACCTCGTTCAAGTCTTACAAGGTCGCCGATACTAAATTTAGAAGGTTTTTGTCTGGACTCTAGCATGTGGTATCAATCCTTGAGTGATTTTACCAAACTTTACACCACTTGGTAGCTACTTTTCAGATTTATTGTGCTTAAGTCAAGGTGGAACTGTGTGAGGATTGATATCATTTGCGAAACCTTGTTAGAATTGTAATGAAGCTTTAGAAGAGGTTTTGATAACATCATATGTGTTAAAACTGAAATGAACGTAGCACTCTAATAAAAAAGTCAAGAAAAATAATTGTGATGATGTGAACATAGATATTTAGAAAATCCCACCATATGATCAGAATATACAACTTGGCAAACAAACAAAAAATCACACCTTATTAGTAAAAGATGAAACTTAGCGTAAAAGAAAAGAATAAAAAAAAATCACACCATATTATTAATATGCCACTAGACAGACAGTAAAACCCTATTATTTACGACAGATCTCATTTATTTATGGTTGATGTAGAAAAAAAAAAAGATATAAATCACAGCAAAATAAGTATAACCCATACTACAGGTACAACACCTGTTATATGTGTCAGCAGTTTACTGTCCTGGTTTTAACCCAGATTTTGAATGATTAGTCTGACACACTGACACACTTAAATACATAGGACATCTATAAAGTGATATGATAATCTTGTATGATAGAAAGATGGAGGTTTATAGACAGGTTACAAATTATATTTAACATTGTCTCATTTTTTTTTTTTTTAAAGATTTCTGCCTCGTGATTCTGCATGCATGACAAGAGATCTATAAAATATCAAATATGTTACAAAACGTGGGCTCTTTCATATAGTAAATATATTTCACATATGAACTTCGTAGTTAAGTGTCTGAATTGCTTTTCCCGCAAAAGAAATATTGTCTCTTGTCTGGTTGATTTACAAAGGGAGGGATTATACCATGTAAAATCCAAAATCCAACATTACAGATTTTTATCCAAATCTATAAAAATATCTATATTAATTTATATTAGAAGTCTCGCATAGGTGACAAATTGATTGAGTAAACAGTTAACAATATTGTTTAATCTTCAAACGATATCGTGTTTTGTGATAATCCTCAGGTAATTTTGACTCTCATGAATTTAAATAATATTTTGACGTGTTTGAATGTCCTTGACATTTATGAATATTGTTACAGATATTTTGATATTGTAAATTTCATTAAATATAAACTTTATTTTACAACAATTATTCAATTATTCCAACAACTTATACTAGTCATGCCTGTTGGCTCAAATGTAAGCATGCCAGGTTACGTCTACTATGGGAAGAAACTTGAGTATTTAGGGAAAACCGTCATGATTGTAGAGCTGATAAATTACCTTTTTGTGTCTCCATTTGGGGAATTGGACCCCGTAAAGCTAGGTGAAAGCAAGTGCTACCACTGTGCTACCAAACAGACCAATTGTGAAATTCACTGTTACAAGTATTGTGACATTTGTGAATTTCGTTGTTACAAGTATTTTGATGTTTTGTGAATTTCTTTGTTACAGGTATTCTGACATTCGTAAATTTCTTTGTTACAGGTATTCTGACATTCATGAATTTCTTTGTTACAGATTTTTTGATGTTCCTGAATTTCTTTGTTACAGGTATTCTGACGTTCGTGAATGTTTACAGTGTTCGAGCAGCAACTCGTATTCAGGACATCTTCACTGTTGCGAAGATTTTGTCTCTTATCATCATAATCATCACGGGTTTTGTTCTTATTGGACAAGGTAAGTAACTCGGGCCAACAAAATATGATCTTGTTAAAACACACACCCTACGATGTATCTTATTTAATCACAACTCCTTTTTGCTTTTCTCTTGTTATTTTTTCGAAGGAAACTCAATATTTTGTGACCATATTATACCAATCTTCATGTAATATTGAGATAGATGAATATGTCTCTTGTTTTTAATTAGTTAGAACGAGGAGAGATAATTTGAACCTGTCTTAATGACACTGTTACAGGTGAGACGGAGTACTTTGAGAATCTGTGGGAAAATACAGCTGGAAAAGGTGGTGATGTTTCGGGGATATCGCTAGCTCTGTACAATGGCTTGTTTGCCTATGCTGGATGGTAAGTGTTGTAATTAACTGATTTTATACCAGATGTACTGGTGCTGAATAACTGCATGTAACGCCAAAAGTAGCCGGAGTCTGTTTTCTATATAACGCCATTAATACTCAACAAGAGTAGATAATGTCAGTGTTCTATATAACGCCATCAACACCTGGCAACAGTAGTTTATATATGTATTCTGTATAACGCCATCAGTCCCTGACAACAGTAGAATGTGTCTGTGTCTGTATTCTGTATAACACCATCAGTCCCTGAAAACAGTAGTCTGTGTCTGTATTCTATATAATGCCATCAGTCCCTGACAACAGTAGTCTGTGTCTGTATTCTATATAATGCTATCAGTCCCTGACAACAGTAGTCTGTGTCTGTATTCTGTATAATGCCATCAGTCCCTGACAACAGTAGTCTGTGTCTGTATTCTATATAATGCCATCAGTCCCTGACAACAGTAGTCTGTAGTCTGTGTCTGTATTCTATATAATGCCATCCGTCCCTGACAACAGTAGTCTGTGTCTGTATTCTATATAATGCCATCCATCCCTGACAACAGTAGTCTGTTGTCTGTGTCTGTATTCTGTATAACACCATCAGTCCCTGACAACAGTAGTCTGTTGTCTGTATCTGTATTCTGTATAACACCATCAGTCCCTGACAACAGTAGTCTGTGTCTGTATTCTTTATAACACCATCAGTCCCTGACAACAGTAGTCTGTGTCTGTATTCTGTATAACTCCATCAGTCCCTGAAAACAGTAGTCTGTGTCTGTATTCTTTATAATGCCATCAGTCCCTGACAACAGTAGTCTGTAGTCTGTGTCTGTATTCTGTATAACTCCATCAGTCCCTGACAACAGTAGTCTGTGTCTGTATTCTGTATAACTCCATCAGTCCCTGAAAACAGAAGTCAGAAAACAAATTATTATAATCAATTGTCATGGCTTTTCAAACAGTCTTCACAACAGATGTTTCAATGTGATAACAGACATGTTTTGCTGATGATAGATGTTTCAATGTGATAACAGACATGTTTTGCTGATGATACACATATCACTAATGGTATGAGACTGTTGTACTCTGTGTGTCTATACTAAAGAAATCATGACCTTCTATTGAGTTTGTCGTGTTTTGTTATAGCATTGAAAATAAAAAGGAATAAATCAGATATTGTTGACACAAGGATTTGAGAATAACTGAAAAATTTGAAATAAATAACTTATGTTTACAAACAAACCCCTAATTTTTTTTATTATCTCTTTAATGAAACTGTCGATGCCTTATTTTAACATACTGTAAATCACTTTGATTTTGTGAATACTTTATTTCGCAAACTACTCTCTCCAGATGTATTGGCCAATACATGATTTCACAAACACTTATCTAGAAATTACTTTAAATTCACAATTGATGAGCTGTTAGATATCGGGACTCTGCAAGACTCCGATATTGGTAACGGAATTGACTTAAATGCCATCCAGAATTATTTTCGTATTTGAATTCATGATTGTCTCTCCTGGCATATTAACACGTAAATAACTACGACCCAAAACATTAGTGGTTTACGGAATATATATATCTTGATGACAAGTACATATTTTGAAATATTTTTTTCCTGTCTCAATAGGAACTTCCTGAATTTTGTCACAGAAGAAATGATAGATCCTTTCAAGTAAGTTTTTTCCGAGGATTGATTCAACTACATGACGTGTAAATGCGAGATTTTACTTATGTACACAAAAAAAAATGACTTATCATCTCTCAAATGAGTTCATGAAGGATGACTTTGTATTAAAAAGATGATTATAGGCTTAATCAGTCCTATCAACAGGTGTTTGTAAGAGATAACATTGAAGGCTTAGTTTGTGAAATTTAGCATCCATTTCATGTAGTTAATGGAAGATAATGGTATTGATTTTGTATCATAATATCATTTTTTTTTTTTTTGTACAAATTTGATTTTTGTCATAATATGTCAGTTTAGCAGCTGTAGTGTTTTGTTGTAGTGTAGATTTGAAATCCTAAAAACAAAGCATTGTCGGTATAGACAAGAGTATTATGGAAGTAATTATGAGTGATCTTCATTTGTTTCAGAAACCTACCAAGGGCTATCTACATTTCTATCCCTATAGTAACAGCTGTGTATATCCTTACCAATATCGCCTACCTCACGATCATTTCACCCTATGAGATGTTAAACTCCAATGCTGTCGCTGTGGTGGGTACCTCTCAAACATCTCTACTTATAGACTTTGAGCTGTTTTTTTTCCCAGATATTTAATAAAAAAGATACAAGTTAAATAATATTAAGGTGATATTGAAAAACAAGTCTTTATGCCTCTGTGTTTCGTCTTCATTGGAGCCCATATTTTAACAAATTTTATAGATATATAAATATGGTTTTTTTTTTGGCAAATGTATAATTTTTACATAAAGTAGATTACACTAAAATGAGTGTCAGGGAGTTAAAGTGTCAAAACCTACGAAATCCGACGTTTGTTTAACTAAACTTCTGTTGATTAATGACAATAGAAGGAAACATGTTTGTTGTCTTACTTCAGATGTCACTGGAAAGATTTTTTTGTTGTCTGTTTTTCAAGAAACATTTGCAATTAAGGTTATTTTTTACCCATAAATTACAATCGTACTTAAGAGAAAAGTGTTCTTTATCTGTTGTAGACATTCGGTTACAAAGTGTTCAGTGTGATGGCTTGGATTGTACCTGTGTTTGTATCACTCTCTACATTTGGAGGTGTGAATGGTCTACTCTTCACATCAGGAAGGTAATGTTTCTGTTTTTGTTTACCTTGTGTTTAGTGTGATGTACAAGTTCATTGTCATCAGAATAAGTTTTTGTATTACCTTTTTAAATAGACGAAACTTTGATCACTAGCTGTAGAGATTTTTTTTTTTTTATTCAGAAAATCAATTACATTTGAAAAAGTTCATGGGATCCAAATATCCTTGTATGAATATAAGTAGTCACATCGCTGCAGAATTTCTGTTTGGATGGTCTTGTAGTCTGTTCACATGATTTTTTAGGAGGGTAATTGATGAATTAATCATTTTAGTACTGCTAAAACAAGGCTTCTTATTAAAGTATAAAGATCCTTTAGTTAGTGCAGCCCGTTGGAAATTATCACATGCACTGAAAAATCAAAGATTGTCGTAGGAATCTCTGTGTGGTGCATTGGATGTTAATTAATGAGGTTGGCAGTTGGATGCACATGTCGGATGAAAGGGGAGATGTAGTAGGGGGACGTTATAAAAGACAGACAAACTCATATGATAGACATTAGCTCACTAGTGCAAAACATGTCTACCTTCCTTTGATAAGCTAATAACACTGCATGTCACCTGTCCTCATCACAGTTCCAACATGAACTCAAAGACCTAGGTAGACACACTAACTACCGTACATGTTTACCCCCTCTCTCCCTTAAAGAAACTCTTTTATTACCCATAATGCTTTTAATGCACATTTACTTTAAAGATCTAACAAATTTGATGTGCAATTAATTGTGCCGAAACATTTCCTGTACATTTCTGATGAGATGGTCATGTCTGAACTGCCTGCCTCCAATCTACAAAGTGGAAAATGTCTTGATTTCATAAAATATTGCCTTTGTGTTATGGACAGGGTGTAATTAAGACATAACATTTATCTTTGATTAAGACATATCTCCCTGGTACATCTTTTCACACGTCTAGACACCATTAAGGAGGAAGCAGTATTATTAAGTCAGTGACATGTTGTACACCATCCACTCTGACATACAAGTCACAGATCTTTATTAAAAATTCAGTTTAAATTTTACTTTTATTATATAAATTTATGACTCATTGTAATGTAAAATATTTAATTATAGATTTTAATAATTGTTATTAGTAAACCAAATTTTTTTTGACAAAACATAATTTTTTTAAACAAACTTTAAAAGAAATTGACATACACTTGTTGATAAAACATAATTTTTAAACAAACTTTAAAAGAAATTGACATATACCATGTTTAAATTAACTTTTTTTTTTGCTCAAAGACCAAGTCAAATGCAGCATTAGGTAATTCAAAATTAGACACAACATTAAAATCTTTATACATATTTGTGCTTATAAATGATTATAATTATAATATAATTATATATATGTGGAGAAGTGGGTATTCTCACCACGTAGCTGGCTCCTATCAGTTTCCCATTTGTCATTATTTTGTTGATATAACAAGAATCACTTTGATGTGTACTGATGCTGCCCTCTAGTCAGTACAGCATGAAACGTTTACAGAATACAGAGCTTTGCTGTAGGTATGATAGAGAACATGGAGACACAATGATATTATAGTGTGAAATTTTTCATAATTTGAAAAAATATCATTAGTGTAGTTTTGATAATATCTGATAAGAAAATTACTCATTAAATGGATTGAGTTGACGACCATGTTATCATGCGTATAAATATATCAGAAGTACAGGAAAAGGGTAGTTATGATGAAAAAAAAAGTGACCCTATTTAAGAAGGTCAAAGGGTACCTGGTACTTAGTCTTACTCTGATACTACAGGAGTGTCAGTCCCTTACAAGTGCATGCACTACACGATAAGAAAGGATTTTTTTTGGTGATAATCATTTTTCCCTTACTGGAAATACTAAAAGCGGCTGTAGGTTTGTAATAAGCCCGCCATTGAACCAGTAGATATGGAACTAAGTTTATCTGTTTTACAAGCTGTTCTTCGTGGGAATATTGAAATGCCCTTCCAAAAAAAATTTTTTTTTTTTTTTTTTTTATTTTGCAGATTTCTCTTTGTGATGGAGTTTAATGTACATTTATAAAGAAAACATTTCTTTATATTACAGATTGTTCTTCGTGGGGGCAAGGGAGGGCCACCTTCCTGATTTCCTGTCTATGATTCATCATCGTAGATTCACACCCATGCCTGCCATGTTGTTCACTGTAAGTTTGTATATTCCTAGCTTTGAAATTCATATTTCAGAAAACTCAACAATGATTTAAAGCAAGTATAAAAAGTCATAGAGTGGCTATGGTTTTCACAAGTCTTTAAAAATAAGGGAGGTGAAATAGAATTGAATTCTAGAAGAAGAAAAAATGGAAATAAAAATTGATTTCCAATTAGTCTATTTCTTTCATGTGTAGAACACATTTTGCTCATTGTCTTAAAATCATTCTTTGGAAAGATTTCAAGTTGAGGGAGAATACTGTGTGAAAATTTAAATGTGTCTCGTCAGATAAATTTCATGGTTGGTTGAAGAAGAAGATATCAAAACCGCCTGATTGATTAGATCCAGGACTTTTTTCAAAATCAATATTACATTTGAAGACACGGTGATTTCAGGGCATCTATGTCCCTAACACACAGAGTCGATTACCAGACAGCTTTGAGTGAATTGTACCGGAAACACCTCATACACAAACATGTCAAGTTAAACTTACTTGTTTTAATGGGGACATTACTGTTGTATTTTATTGGTGACGGCTCAGTGGAATGCTTTGTGTTTATCTAGTGGTCAGTCATTTGTAAAATGATACGTTAACTGATCAAAGGCATCTAGTATGTAATATCTGATGTTATTTCTCTTTTGGGTGGCCTTGTGGCCTTTTGTATGAAATGTCTGATGTTTCCTTATAGGGTGGCCATGTGGCCTCTTGTATGTAATATCCAACGATATTTCTCTACAGAGTGGCCTTGTGACCACTTGTATGTAATATCAGATGATATTTCTTTACAGAGTGGCCTTGTGGCCTCTTGTTTGTAATATCTGACAATATTTCTCTACAGAGTGGCCTTGTGGCCTCTTGTATATAATATCTAACGATATTTCTCTACAGAGTGGCCTTGTGACCACTTGTATGTAATTTCCGACGATATTTCTCTACAGAGTGGCCTTGTGACCTCTTGTATGTAATATCCTATGATATTTCCTTATAGAGTGGCCTTGTGGCCTCTTGTATGCTATATATGATAGGTGCCTTATATATGATAGGTGCCTTATATATGATAGATGCCTTTTATATGATAGATGCCTTATATATATGTAATATGTGATGTAATTTTCCCTACAGGGTGGACTTTCACTGATCATGTTGATTGCGGACGATGTTTCCTCCCTCATTAACTATATGAGCTTTGTACAATGGCTTTCTGTAGGAATGTCAATTGTCAATCTCATCTACTTACGGTTCAAACAACCTGACCGAGAGCGACCAATCAAGGTAACATCCCTTTCATAAACATTTTCATCTATTTCTTCCCTATATAAACTGGTGCTAAACATGTAATAAAATCATGTTTCTTGTAAATGTGATAAGTCTCATAATAACCCCCAGAACACAAACGTTTGTCGGGGAGACGATAAAATTTGTCAACCAGCCAACCAACCAATAACCTCTCGTTCATATTCACTTGTTGAATGTGTCTGTTTGCCATAAACATTGGATAAATAGCCTTGGATAATTACCTCCCGTTCATATAATTTGGTAGTGTATTAGCTGTTTAACCTGACTGGAAATGAAACGCCTGAAACAATTCAGTTTGATCGGAAAGGTTTCAAATGATCAAAATAATATGATGTAAGTCCAGATGAATTTTCTTTATTTGATGTGTAAGGAGGAAAATGAATTATGAAAGAACGTTCATTTTTATGATATTTATCTTCTTAATGTTGATGTCAAAATCGTGATGTTTAGAAAAGTAAACATGTTTTCTTCTTATCTTCGCAGTTCCCGTTGTTTGTGCCGTTCCTGTTCTTGGTGTTTGTTTTGTTTCTTTTGATTGTACCCCTTTATGCTGCTCCCTACGACACTGGGATGGCCGTAGTGATAATCTTGTCAGGAATACCTGTCTACATCCTTGGTGTTGTCTGGAAGAGCAAGCCGAAGGTCATCATAGAATTTATAGGTATGTTGTCCTTACTGAATATTAAACGTCCGCTGAAAGACGAGAGGCTGTAATAGTGGATGTAAAACCTGTTTAATTCAATGAAATAAAATCGAAAATAATAGTTGTTTCATTGAAATGAAGGAAAAATTTAAATCACTCAAAATGAAATGAGTATAAGTGTTTGAGAAGTATGCAAAGGGAGATAACTTCCTTTATTAACGTAAAAATTTGGGAAGAAAAATAATTGTTGAATGGATGTGATATGTTATTAAACTTTTCTCATAAGAAAAGATAAGTAATTTTCTTTGTGATCTTTAAGTTTGAAACGACGGGTAAATATTCATTCAGGGAGGTTTATTATAACACTTGTAGAAGCTTTTTCAGGAAATAGAGAAACATTTTCAGGAAATAAACATTTTCAGGAAAAAGAGAAACATTTTCAGGGAACGATGTGCTTTATGATTATTATACAAGCATCATTTTATAACCATAATTCATTTTTTTTTTCTTCTTTATTTTTCAGAGAGTTGTACAAGACTTGGACAGAAAGTATGTGAAGTAACAAAACAAGAACAATAGTAATTCTTAATAGGCAAATTTCAGTGGTAATCTTATTTTTATGGTTCAACTCCGCTCTCGCTTGTCCTAAGCCCACGTTGAGAAAGGGGGAAGTTGCTATTGTCCATTACACATCATACTGACTAGTCAACTTACCAGTAGCCTAGAACAGAAGCATGTCCTAACCAAAGCTGGATAGGGAAGTGTAATTTTAAATTGACTACACAAATACATGATGGAAAATGTTAAAAAGTTGAATATGAGATGTATTTGGTTGCTGTCGTGCAAAATGTCAGAAGGTATTCAAAATTTTCGTGTTTCATAAATTTACTTTATTCATTTATATACTCCATGAGATTTGCAGAATCGTGGTTAAAATATCATGATATTTGGCTCTATAATGGAAATATGATACCATTGATAAAGCCTGGTATTGTAACATACATTTATTTATAGATATATATAAACTTTATCTATTTACAACAAATAGGAAACAAGCTTTAAGCTTATATTAATCAATCTTGTTTCCCCGTATGGAAGTAAGCGAGTCTTATTATGGGAGGAAACTGGAGTGCCCTGCGAAAACTCATGTGGTCGGATAGGTGGCGCAATACCTTTTCACGTCTGTGCCGGGAATCGAAACCCCGGACACTGAGGTGGAAGGCGATTGTGTTAACATCGTGTCACCTGACCACCCATATACAGTATTTAACTACCCAGAACACTTAGAAATAAGGTTGCACTGATTTGTGTTTGTGAACAGTTATCCAATGTGTTCAAAACTTCTAGAAACAATTTCTGTCATGGGCGATTTCATTATTTGTTCATGACTGGTCATAGAGGGGTAAACACTCGCTGTATATATGTCTATTTATTTCAAGTATTATCATATCTCCATCTTGTGATATCATACCCATATACTTATCAACTATCTGGGTTTCTTTGAAAGGGGAAGGGGTGGAGGGGGTTATTGTGCATATCAATTGCGGAGCCTGATAAAAATCTTTTTACAGCTGAACCTCGTTATCTTGAACTCAGGGGAACCATGGGAAATCTTTCAGATAAGCTAGTACTCGATTTATGTGAGTTCAAACTTCAGGTTATACGAGTTAGAGATATTGATGTTCGACGGTAAAGAATTCCATTGAAAAGCTATGAAATAACTTATACTAAGCTGTTGCATCGGATAAAATAAATCGATTTTCAAAATTGTGAAAACTTACTAAGTTAATTTAAAAATTGGCTGAAATTTGTTTAAAATGTTAAAGAGAAAATGGTAAAAGTCACTTCAAGGAGGAACGAGGGGTAAAAAGATATTAATGAAGTTTCACATGTTCGGGGAATGCCTGAATATCAGTGCCACAGCTTTCATGCTTTTGGCTTGGAGGTGATAGTCTGACTAACCTTGTTGGTAGTTTATCCTGTGTAATATTTATAAGTGATATTGTTCAGGAAATATTTACTTGTTTTCGAAAAATTACGAGTTTCAGCTTCTAGATTGAAGTCTTGATCATTCAGACTCTTTTTTTCATATTATCAGTTAAAAGTGACGGTGTGCGTGTGCTTGAGTGTGCAATGATAGGATGTGTTTGGTATAATGTGATACCAATTTCCAGTAAGTCTATTTTTTATCGGTACACTGACGAGATTTTTGTGTGAATGCTGCATGTCTTTGTTTTAATATTTATTATCAGCTATAAGGTTTTTGAATGTGGTAACATTATGCAGTGAAAATGATAGAGAGTTGCGGTTTTTGTATAAGAACGTCGTACCTTTTTAGCGAATTGATCCTAAATATCAAATCTTATGATATTACAAGCAGAGCCACAACCGATATTCTGGTAAGTTTATGAAACAACCTCATTTATTCCACAGAAACATATTGGTTCCCTGACCAAAGATGATACCAGCACACAATAACGGTGACTTTGCACTTAAGTCTTAATTGCATTTTGTTCCTGGTGTCAGTCAGGTTATGTGAAAAATGCATAATAATATTTTTTTCCGTTTAAAATTTTTTTTGTGAATACCTGTTTTTTACCACCTTTTTTTTATTAGGAAAAAAAATCTTAAGAATATGGTATTAGCAACATTTTGTCTTAAGATTGAAGTTTTTTGTGATTCATTGAAATTGTTTTATGAAATGAATATTTTGCATTGAGTAAGAACGGATGAGTTATGCCACTTGCGGTAAACAGAGTACCCCACATCTAGTCATTATACATTTCACTGCAATATTTATTTAAACAATATCATTGCGTTGCGGCAAAGAAGGTTAAGATGATACACACGTTGAACAGCTTGGATGTTTACTCTTTGTATATTCTGTAATCGCAAAGTATGTGTCAGGGGATGTATTTTTATTTAAGTGCAAATAAACATGTATTATATTGTATCAAATGGAAAAAAAAACATAATGAATCTCACGAATTATTTTGATATTTAACTTGCATTTGTAATCAAAAACCACCTCTGTTGAAGACATTCCTGTCTAGACCTACTCATTACATGCGTCACTGTTGGCTTCCATAATAATTGTCTTAGTGTAAGTAGTCTCATAAATTTATGACGTTGAATTTCCATTATGTCCATGTACTAAGTGTTACATCCTCTTCATATTTATTTTGTTAAAAAAGTTACAGTTACGAAAAAATAGGAACAACTGAGAAGCAAGGTAACGAAATATATCATTTTAATATTGTTTGTTTGTACGAGCAGTAAACTTAAGAACAAATCTATTGTTGGTAGATCTAGTTAACATTTTTTTAAAAAAAAATATTGTTCACTTTTATATGGTTGAAAAGAATTGCCTTCATTCCACCCTCATGAGAATATTATTAAATATACAAATTGGCATTACCTTGTGTACTGAGATTTCTATATAAAACTTTTACTTGATAATATCAACACACATAGTATTAGGTGCTATAAAGGGTTATTTCCTAGTACAGGTGAAAATTAGGGTAAAAATTTAACTATTTCTCAGTATAATTTACCACTGCCATGATAATCTATACAGAGCAATGTTAGACATTTGCCAAGTAATTTTTTTTAATAAAATTTATTTTTATTGTACTGATATTAGCCCTATACATATTTTTACTACTGATTTTTATGCACATTATTGCAAGCGATGTTTTTTTCTTTACTCTCTACATACATTGCCTTCATGTAATGATCAATGTATTTTTCATCAATTTTTAAAAGAAACAGGTTTTCTTATTTTTTGTTATAAGTGTATAAAGTAATTCGGAGGTCAAATATTTTTATGACCTAAAAATTTGAATTGAAAGAATGAAAATGGAAGACTTTGTTTCTGAGCTACCAGTTCATGCATGACCACATGATTACTTTAATTCAAAAAAAAAAATCACAAAATATGTATTGTTATTTTATCAGGTAACCCTTCTCTTATTGATCTCAAATGTTTCACTTGTAAGTTGACAAAACAGACTTGTATTTTTGTAACTGAATATATATTTAATTGATTCAAGTCACCTCAGTGTTTCACTTGGAAGGATCAAGTCACATGGCCGTTTAATGTGTATAGATCCAGGTCACTTTGATGTTTTATTTGTTATTATGTCCAGTTATAGAATTGTGTACGACTGAACCCAAAACATGGGGTATAAAAATATGAAGACCAAGATTAAATCTGTGATTTTGATAACTAATTTAAAAAAATAAATAAATAAATAAACAGCTGAATAATATAAGGAAAAAGGAGAAAGGACATTTTAGGGGATAAAGAGTGAAAGGAGATGATGAATGAGAGACAGTTGAAGGAGGTAATGATGAACAAAGGGAGGAAAAAATTGATTAAAAAATGTGGGAATAGGTAGAATAAAGGACAGAAAGAGGAGAAAAAAAAAGAGAAACAGAGTGAAGGGAAAGGTACTAGCTATCACTGTGGTGTTAGTGAATCTCATTTATGCACTCGTACTGTGATATACCAGACACGTTTACATGAGTTACGGTTCCTCTGATACGTGTAATGTAAATGTGCTTAATTTGGCACAGTCAAATTTTATCCCGTCATCGCTTTGTGGTAGGTTAGCAAAACACTGAATTAGCTCATCCTCTATAGTTGCTATATTTAATTAGCATAATCATATTTTAGCACAATAATTTCTGTGCAAAAAGTGCTAAAATAAGATTAATGCGAAAATATATGTTGACAGTATAATGAAGTGTGTTTTATTTGTTGTTGAAAATCATTTGATATTAATGTATCGGGCATTTGTGAGGTGATGTTTGTTATGTTTAAATATCGATATCAGTGTGGTCCCTATTCTCATCATTTTGTTTACGCTATATACTTTGTTTGCTATTTCACCCATATATAAAGGTATGCACTTTGAGTTTGAATTTTCTTATTTGTTTCTGTGCTGCTTCAGAATTTCTCAGAAATAACAGTATTCTCAATGGATTTTTTTTTTCATCTTCAAAAATGACAGCCATGTGAATATTCCGGGAGTTTTTATTGATTTATAGATATACATTGAGAAAATTTTTACATTTGTGAATTCTGATGTCATGTGGATGACAGCGAATCCGTTTTCATCTATGAAACATATGGACTGTAGAAACCTGTCCAATCTGAATTTAGATTTTATGGAAAGTATTCATCAGGAATTTTATTTCATTTTAATCATGGTAATGAAAGTAAAAATGAAATTAAGTACAAACCAAATGTTTTTATTGTTGATTGAAAAGTCACAAATTATATATAATTAAGCTCTACTGGTATTGCTTTAGGGATTGTGAGCTACGTGAAGTATATTCTTATAAATCAGCCCAGTTAGGAAAAATTGGGTAAATATAAGCCCCAGGTAATGTAACAATCCTACAATACAGAGCTTAGAGGTAAATATATTTTTGAGTGTAATGTTTCACTTACTGGTGTTACAAAATCAGAAATAAAAATGATAAACTGCCAAAAATATATATATATATATATGAAGCACTGCCATGGACGTAAATGCAAGACCCTAGTTTTACCTGTGTTATTTCAGGGATCACTAAGCCCCACGGAATAGCCAAAAAAAACCAGCTACATATAATTATTTTGTATTTTCATTTTTTATACAAAAGTTCAGTTCAACAAAAATTGTATTTACATAATCTATTATTTTTTTAAGTCTGGTCCATTCACAATATTTAGAATTATGATACAAGACCCGATGACTGTGTAATTGGCCCGATTTTTTTCCTTTGTGCTCATTTTTCAAATGTCATTGGGGACCATCTCAAAATATTAGTAAATTTTCAATTTTGAAATGGTCCCCTATTGTGATGTTGCGTTGAACCTTGCCATTCCATGACAAAATGTAGAAACAGCCAGCAATTTGTATGACTGAAATCGGTCAAACTGCATTAAATGTGTGTAAATAAAAAGACTAGTTTTTATCAATTGTGTCTTATGTTGTTGTTCAATCACAGGAACATGGCTGCAGAGTTTTAATCAGCTCAAGTTGCAGAATTTTCTATGAAACGTATTGTTTTAGGATATATTTTAAGACACACAGTCTTGCGTACCTTAAATTTAGTGTTGTTCAGTACTTTCATAAAAAAGACCATTGCATTTTCTGAATGTTACATAGTTAAAAACATTTTCAAAGAATAATGAAAAAGTGGAGAACGTAGAGGTCACACCTAATTGTGCATAATAGACATGCAACTAGTCCGAAGGGTACAGACTCTCTATCCACAATTTCATTTTTAGCTTGATCGTGGTGTTCCGGAAGAGTGAGAATCTTCTGCATCGGCTACTCTTGTCACGTATTGATCTAGAAATTTGAAATTTTATATGTACATGTTAGGAAGTTATCCCTGTTGGTTAGTTGTAAGGAAAGATGAAGCAACCTACTTACGTAGGTTCTTTAATGTCCAGTTCCTGGGGAGTACGTCCAATTGACATTATCAATAAATCTGCTGTTATATATATAAACTGGACATCACCATTTTACAAATTCTTCAATTATTTCAGATTGGTATGAAACAAAGACACATCAATCAAAAGAGTACCTTATTTAGTTTCAATAATCAGTTGGATGATCTTATCGTTGGGCAAAAACTAAAACATTCTTCATATGTCGCCTCCAATTTGGCTTTAGACATATTGTTGCGAAACTTTTTCTCCTATAGTCCATAACCGTGTACCAAATACACGAGAAGCTGTCTGGAAGTGAGCATCACGAAAAAGCATGTTACCGGAAAATAAATTTTTCAAGAGCTGATGGTCTTTGGAACTAAATTCTACGTCATGGTGTACAGTATCACAGAATACTTCTGCCTTGGTTGCATAATACTGAAAATATCGGAAGCTTAGATTACAAATTGGTTAGAGAAGATAAGGAGCCAGCAATTTTTAACACTGTTTTATGGTTTCTTGTGAATTATGTTGATTTTTATAAATGTAGATATATTTATATTTGTATCCAAAATTTTGATTGAAACTATTTTAAATATCTGAAAGAATCCATTAAAAAAAACAACAGTTGCCTGAAGCAAAGATCTGCCCTCAATTCCTAAATCATATTTCTTATCATTTCACGAGGAGAACAATATTGCTTTATGAATGAATAAAAACTTGCAAATGTGAAAATGTTGTGTATTACCAGCTCATGAACTGCCAACAGCTTAGTAATATTGCAAGTAAGGTAAACAGATTGAGTTTTTTTTTTTATTTATAGAATGAACGTAAGCCTTGAAGTGCTTTTAATTGGCATTTATGGAGGTATGAATGCAACAGGGTAATGAAAAATTCAACTATGTAACACGCTTCATTAAATTTTGTCTTATCGTGTTGGCATATGAAAGCCAACTGAAATCAGTTAAAGACTTATTTTCTTATAGAAATTATAAAATAAATATAAATGAATATGAATAAATTAATAAATATAAATAAATAACTAATAGATTAACTTCTCATCCCTTCATCCAGTCATACCTGTACCAGATAACAGAACTCAGGTGCGTTTTTCCTCCAGAAAATCTCCGTTTCGAAAATTTATCTATCTGTAAATCTATAAACTGCATCTTCCATATCGGTCGGACCTTGCTAGTAAACTTCAGCTAGACAAAGTATTATTATCATCACATAAATGTAAGTAAAACGTGGCAGATATATCTAGGATACGTTTTTTGAAGACACAGTTTCGTATGGCAAATACATATTCAAATTGTTCATGTGACATGGAGAAATAACACAGAGGGATTTTTTTCTTTGATGAAAATTGAAATAAAATAAAGGTTATCAACACAATACAAAATTTATTAAATGTTTATTTCGTAATTCAAGAGTGCGACATACACTATGCTTTTTGATGCTCTTTGAGTTTGTCGTAATTTTCCAAGAGCGTCCGTTTGGCTGGTATGTTTTTTATTTTATAAACACACTCGTACAGCGCGTCATACAGATCCTTCCAACGTTTCTCCTTGATCATGTCCAAATTCAAGTGATTGGTCGCGTATGCAAAGCCAATTTTGTGCGTAGGATCTGCAATGACCATCTGACCTCCTAATCCACCATGTCCAAAGGAAAATTCGGGCTAAAAGGTAAGAATATCATTTTTTTAAACAGAGGTATGTATGGTTTGGTGATGTGATTTAGTTTTCAAATACACTCTACCTAAGTCATATTGTCCAATATTTCTTTCGGTCTGCTTCGCTTAAAACTCACTGAGATTGACAATGTTGGAAGACAGCCTTTTGCCACCAACAAACAAATTTTCATAAAGTGAGTGAATGAAAAATAAAAAAAGTTGAAGAGGAAATGACACTTGTTCCCAAGACGAACAAGATTAACAAACAAAGGTAGATAACTCTTCCTGTAGTTGGACACGAAATTTACATCATGACTCCGTTTCTCATTGTTGGATAAACCAAACCATCACATTTCAACACAATTTTACAGACATTTTGTACTTCAAGGGTTCGTCAGTGAGACTAGAATAAAAAGAATGAAAGTCAAGAAGTGGGGTTAGAGAAATCGTTTATCTATTTAATTATTCAGTTTAGGAAATCTTTTTTCATTCCTTTTTACCTTGTTTGTTTGATTTCTGTTTTGTTTTTGGTCATTCTTTTACTTTTAAATATTGCTAAATTGATATTAACATAATTCTCAAAAAAAATCAGACGTGTCATGCAATATCACCATGGGCGTTGTTTTACATCAAACGAATTCGAGCTGATTTTGAACAGAAATTCATGATCGAGAAATATGTAAGATGTTATGGGTATGAAAACAAAGCGAAGAATACTTACTGGCTTGTCATCATCTACCGAGGCAATTACCATGGTTCCTAGACTGAACATTAAGTCCAATCCATATACCACCTCTTTGCCGTAGGACTTTAGGACAAGCTGTCGTTGGATAGCTTTCTCGGACAGGAGCGTCTTGCCATTGTGAACTCCTCCGTTAGCTAATATCCCATGGAATTTAGCGAGGGAGGCTGCAGTCCCGTGCCCCAGGGCTGACCCCGCAGGGATTTCTCTTATGTATGGATTGTTCATACTCTGTAAAAGAATTGATTCGTAATCTGCAGTGATCGTTTATGGGTTATATCTAATCTCTTGCAAAATGAAAAAGAAAAACTTTGATACGTAGCTATAGCCAGATGTAGATCATGTTACTTTAACTACAGGAACCCGTGCTTTAACTTTTCTTGCACCACAAGTTACGCTCCTTAAGAGAGAAAAAAATGGTAAAAGCATAGACAACGATCAATTATGAAAGTAGCGAAATAAACAAAATAAGTCCACGGAGTAAGCACTTTCAGTCAATAGAAGTTACTCATTGGTTGATAAAAGTTACATAAAAAGCTGAGAAATATTGGCCGGTCATTGAAGAAAGTCGATTTCATCGTTTCCCGTGCACATTGCTAATTTCAGAGTTCCTCTAGCTGACCAGAATCACAAATCACAACTTTTTCTGATGTTTTTCCACTATCTGATCCGACCGCTTCTATTGCCTTCACAACATCCATCCCTTCTACAACAGATCCAAATACCACATGCTTTCCATCCAGCCAACCCGATTTCGCAGTGCGCCAAAAGAACTGAGAGCCGTTGGTGTTCGGACCGACATTACCCATCGACAAAATTCCGGGGACAGTATGTTTTAGCTGGAAGTTTTCGTCGTCAAACTTTTCTCCGTAAATACTTCCCCCCCACCGGTCCCATTCCCACGAGTGAAGTCTCCGCCTTGGCACACGAAGTCGGGGATAGCACGATGAAACGGCGACCATTTGAATCCAAAGCCTTTCTCGCCAGTACATAGCGCTGGAAAGTTTTCAGCTGTTTTGGGAACATCTGCTCTTAACTCCATGACAACGCCTTTAGTTATGTCGAAAAATGCTCTCGGATTTGCCATGGTAACTGTTACCGGCAGAGTTCCGTCTGATGATAATGGCGTCTGAATACTTGTAATGTAAACCGGAACAACACAGAGAAGATGTATTCATGTACGTGACTTAGGCCTGATTTTAAGCGATACACTTTGCATCGTAAGGAACAGATATGAATTTTCGCCCAGGACGAGTAGTCATGATACAGTCAGAAGTCAGGAGAACAGAAGAGAACAGAAGGCAGGCTAGAGCGGTGGAGATGGGGGCACAAGGAACATGGGCCACATGGGATACCATTAACAGAAAGCTGACCTGTGAGGACATCTGGAAATACGAACCGTTGAGGCTGTCCTTCCTCCTCAGGTCAGTCCACGATCACCTACCTTAAGATATATCAACTATATCAAGCAACGAGGAATTGAGCCGAATATAGAGAGAAAAATAAGCGGAAATGCAGTTTAATGTATTTTAGCAGTGAAACTTTCTGAATTGTTTAGGTGATCGGGGACGATTAACAACAACTGAAGTATTATTAAGATATAAGTTGCTTCGCCATCTATTTTTATCCGCCTTATTCTCTCGAAAATAATAAGTACAAAAGGATTTGGAACACATATACAAGTAGATAATAGGTTACCCTTCCTTCAGTCAATATGTGCAATATTTCAAAATCTGCTTGTGAGTGCAAGAAGACACTAATCCGATAATTATACACGAAATCAATGTTAATTATACAGCACCATGCTCCGGCCAAGCTCAGAAGAAGGATTACACTACATAGCACTAGATGTATAATTATGACATAAATTCTATTTAGTCAAACTTTGAATGGTTACAACTATTTCCAGGTATTGTGTATTCTCTGTCAAACTGAATGGTTACAACAGCCAAGACGAGACTGGTCCTCACCCTGAGAGATTCCCCTGATGAGCAAATCTGTGAAGCAGAGATTGTTACCCGTACAGGCAGGAAGTGGCCAACGACAGAGACTGTTAGCCAGGCGGGAGCGTACTCAAGCACAAGGACATTGTGGGAATAATCGCTGTCGGACGACAAGGGATTGGTGAAACCAAGACACTTCTGTGGAGCTGGGCAGCCCAGGACGAGTAGTCATGATACAGTCAGAAGTCAGGAGAACAGAAGAGAACAGAAGGCAGGCTAGAGCGGTGGAGATGGGGGCACAAGGAACATGGGCCACATGGGATACCATTAACAGAAAGCTGACCTGTGAGGACATCTGGAAATACGAATCGTTGAGGCTGTCCTTCCTCCTCAGGTCAGTCCACGATCACCTACCATCCCCAGCTAATCTCTGGCTTTGGGGGCTGACAACAGACCCATCATGTAAGCTCTGTAATCGCCCTGGAACTCTAGAACAAGTTCTGTCTTCCTGTTCCACCGCACTGACAAAAGGACGATACAGATGGTGTCATGACAAAGTGCTAAGAGAGGTGGCTGACTGGCTGGAAGTAGAAAGGAAGAAGGAGCGGAGGAGCAACCCACAACAGCGTCACATCAACTTTGTAAAGCCGGGTGAAACAGCCAAGTCACAGCCAAAACAGAAGTCATCGATCCTAGATGGCACCACAGGTTGGGAAATGGAGGTGGATCTAGGAAATAAGCTTGTGTTTCCTGGCATTGTCCAGACAAACCTCATCGTGCTGTGGTCTGGAACGGGAAAGAAGCTCATCATGATCGAGCTATCAGTGCCCTGGGAAAAAAATGTGCAGAGGCCTACGAGAGGAAGAATGCCAAGTACACAGAGCTCCTCAACGAATGCAGGAGTAGGGGTTGGCGTACGAGGCTGTTCCCCATCGAAGTAGGCGTCAGGGGATTCTGTTCCAAGTCTGTGTGCCTACTGATGGCAGAAATTGGGACCACTGGCAGGGAAAGGCGCAGGACGATCCAAAGACTGAGCCAAGCTGCAGAGCATGCGTCTAGCTGGTTGTGGCTACGACGCGAGGAGAAGAGCTGGAAGCTCCACACGGTGGGGCCACTCGCTATCAGATATACATGGATAAGGCCTGAAATATGTATGACGGCGAGCACCATGCTGATGATGGAGGGCGATGAACAGACTACTGACGACAACCCACGAAGAATCCAGGGGATTTACACTGCCTTTCTATAAGAGGATGCTTAACAAGAAACTCCACCTGACAGACATTGAAACAATAGACCCAGAGTTCTTTAACTCCATAACTTGGCCGGCGGTACCCTGGGGCACGCTCAACGGGCCTGGGGAAACTGGTTAGAGACAGAAGAGACGTCACAGACTCAGTAGCATGTTTCTCACTTAACCAATAACACCAAAATGAATAAATAAAAATTAATCCGTATAATTTAATCATAGCTCGTCATATTTATGTCATTAATTAACGACTATTTTTTTTGATAATTTGTTACACCATCGCATTGGCCAATCAAATGAGACGTTACAAAATGACGTCGATTACTTTCTGTTAGGCCAATGGGATTATAACATGAAAAGGCCAATGAAAATGCTTGTTTCATCAATAATTGACTGATTATGATTGTAATAAAAATCCATGGTGTATACTAACGTGAAAATTTGTGAACGTTCTGTCGTCCGATCGTTCAAATGATCAAAGTTTCACCAAATCTTCAAACAAGGGTGCGCAAAATTTCAACCAGTCCGAATATAAACCCCTTTAATAGTGCTTACTTGCATATCAGTGAAGGTTGCATTGACGATATTCATTATTTCTGGTTCGCCCTGTATTTGCTTCATGATCTCCTCGACATTGAAAATTGCCATCATGGAAGTACGCGGGGCTCTGTAGTAAAGCTCCTTTGGTAGGCCTATATAGAACTCAATATCTGCAAAACATTGTGACAGTTGTCATAAAATTCAAATGTTGAGTCGACATGATTTCTAATACAAAATTATTTCCAGTCTAAATTGCTGTACATAACATGCGACGGGCCTCCCGTATCTTGTTCAGTGAGGCAATCAGCAGCTTCTACAAGGAGATGTCTCCCCGAAATGACCCTTGGCGATAAACCACACAAACTTAATTCCAAAATGACGGATAAATTTGATTATTAAAGATTCACGTGTAATTCTGGATCTAAATAGCCTCAGAGAATAACGAACAACGATGTTTCTGTAAACTGAGAGCGAAACACACGTATCAAACAACTACTTACCGGAATATATGTATTAAAAAAATGTGTATTCAGTGAGCATTGATATTAATATGATACATAATTACTCCAATCTTTCAAATATTAGAAAGCACGCATAATACAATATCTAGTGTTCTACGATCAACTGATGGAAAGTGACGAAGTTTGTAATAAAAATTATTTGTATGAAAATATTCTGTATTTTATTTATAATTAATGGAATCAACGAAAAATAGAAACAAAATCGCCAAGTCTAACTACAGTCGAACCTCGTTATCTCGAAGTCGGCGGGACCGAAGTAAAACCTCGAGTTATCCAAGTATTCGATTTAAATGGGTTCGAATGTTTGGTGTGAAATTTGACCGGGATCGGCGAAATACTTCGAAATAAACGGGATCTTCGAGTTACATGCGTTCGAGTTTAATGAATTATTTGGCTCATATTTATCTTGTTAATTTGTATCGAAATATGTTTCTCTTTTCTGTGTCTGACGTATAATCTTGATAAACCGAACTTGTTTATTATAGAAGATATATTTATCAAAATACTTCATTTCTAACAACTCAACCCTCACCGAACGGTTTGGCCATCTCGTCATGGAAATACTGAGAGAGACTTCGGCCCTCCGGATCCACCCTCCGTACAATTTGGTCCAGGTACAAGGCAAATGTTAAAGGATGGTAGCCATGTTTAGTTCCTGTTGAAAATACAATCACAACAACGTTACATTGACGATCAATTACACTCACAAAATATCAGCAAACATCTCCCTTCCTCCCTCCCTCCCCCTCTCTCCTTCTCTCTCTCCCCCTCTCTCTTTCCCTCACTCCCTCCCTTCCTCCCTCCCTCCCCCTCTCTCCCTCACTCTCTTCCTCCCTCCCTCCCCCTCTCTCTCTCCCTCCCTCCCTCTCTCTCCCCCTTCTCTCTCCCTTACTCCCTCCCTTCCTCCCTCCTTCTCTCTCTCTCTCTGTCTGTCTGTCACTGTCTCTGTCTCTCTTTCCCTCTCCCTTCCCCTCTTTCTCTTTATTTATCTATTTATTAATTTCATTTATCTATTTTTATTTATCTGTTTTAGTTATTTCTTAATTTATACAAGTACTAATTTTTCCTACATAAATACATAAAAGTTTGTATGAGTGACGAACATACCTGGTTCCCACAGTGGCCTTTGTTTTGCTAAAATGTCTCCAAATTTTTTAGGGTCATCTAACATGAGTCTTAATGGTAATGGTTCTTCGTTCCCACTAAGTCCAGCCTTAATGCAAACAAATATATGACGTCTTGAAAGATGACATCAAAGTTGTATTTTGATGACCAGGCTTCTTTTCAAATGCCTTTGTGAGTTATTTCAGGCATAGAAATGATTTTTGCATTGTCTCCAAATTTCACATACAATTATCACTGGGTTACTTACTGCTAAATTCATAATTTTCGTGTACGACTTATTTTCTTCGATTTCGTTAATCCACGAGTTATCAAAATAACATTTTTAGAACTATATTTACAACCGAATTCATATGTCCAGGAAATAGTGATTTTTTGAGATTAGATTTGTGCAGTTTGCATTATCAGTAATACGATATAATTAAAGCGCATTAAACCTGGTAATCAACATCTAATATTTCGACGTCTTTGTTGTCTTTGTACGTTAGTTATGGTAACCTACCTTGTTAGAGATGTACGTTTCAAGAGTAATGTTCTCTTTGCCGTTCTGTGCAAACTCGGGCCAGTACTTTGCTATTTTTTCATTGTAGTCGAGGAGACCTCTACAACATAACAGGTTAGGTTATAAAATATCTGAATTTCTGGAGATTGTGTCCCCAAATATCAATACAATAAAGGGTTTGAACCCGTCGTCATTTTGGAGACATCTTCTGTGAATGGTTCCATTTCAAGGTTTCGGTAAAAATATTTGAAGACGTTTGAAAATTTCTGTAACTGTTTGGCTGTGACATCTCGAGTAACTTCATGCAGACCGAAAATATCTGTCTCTAAAATGATAATTTAATCCCGATACTCACATTTATTATGGTGTTACTGATATTTACATTTTTATGAAATAAACATAATTATAATAGATATCGATATCTGTGAAATAAATGTGAATATTGACACTAAATTATTATTTCCGGTCTAATTATCTTGTGAATTGTTGTGTCAGTGACATATCCTGCTAACTCTTAATTGTTTGACTGTACTCCAAATGGCCTCGGACATATTAACGATATTACCTTGAATGCAAGTGACACGGCTTGTCACCAGAAAATAGTATTGCGCTCGCGATGGAAACACGTGACATATGACACAGGTGATCCAGTGAAATCTTATTGCTTATATCGTAACTCTAGATGTCTATATACCTACCTGTCGACAAGGTGAGCTATCACAAGGGCTGAAGGACTTTTTGTTGAGGAGTAGAAACACGGCATGGTGTCCTCTCGCCATTTCATTCCAGCCTCCTTCTCCACCCAGCCTCCCCATAGATTCACGACCAACTCTCCTTCATAGTAAACCGCTACGGAACTCCCTTCATCAGAACCATTCTCCAAATTGGCCCTGAAGAAAAAACAAAAATGTATGACTTCGGGTATAATTTAATATCTTGCAAGCGATAATTCACTCCGCACTTTTAACCCAGTGCCCTTAACACAAATTTACTATTTTTGCAATTCTGTCGTTAGAAATACACTTCACAGTTACTATTAACACACAGAGGTACAACAAAACCACAGGAAGATTTGGAGTTGTAATTTAATTTCGTATTAGTTTCTGTTACTTCATCTCAATTAAAAAAACCATATCTTAAGCAGATTAAGTTTGCAGATTCTGCAAAGTCTATATAGAGATCGTTTCTCAGAAATATTGTCGAGTCCTGTTTTCAGTATTGAATTATAGTGTTTCCCACCCTCTTAGTCCATTCAAATGACCATGGATGTTGAAAGGACGTGAACTGTCACTTTAATCACTTTTGAACTGTCGCCTAATCAATATTATCATTCTGGACACAGATATCGATGCCAATATGAAGGTAACAGATGATGTCTGCAGGTGTCTGTGTACTTGATCATCTTTAATCAGATCAGATGTGATTTGAAAAGAAAAAAAAATACGGATGGCTTAGTATTTCTCACCAACGGAGGTTGGAAAATTGGAATATAGAAACGTAAGGTTCCGTCAGGCATCGATTCCTCATTGCGACTAAGACCGAGTTGGACATGATGTCTACAACTGGCGATTAGTTCGTTCACAAGGGTAAATCAGAGTCCATGCGATACAGTCTTATTGTAGCCGTGATTAAAATTTAAAAAAAAACAACAAACAAAAGGTTTATTCATCATGGCTAGTTGTTTGTTCAGTGCGTAAGTTCTTGACAAGGCAACAATTTTGCGGTCAGAACACTAAAGTTTCAGCGCACTCCTGTGTAGTACAAGAATTGTTATGTAACTGTTATAGTGCCCTCCTCTGTGATACTAGAATTGCTAGGTTACGGTTATAGTGCCCTCCTCTGTGATACTAGAATAGTCAGGTTACGTTTATAGTGCCCTCCTCTGTGATACTAGAATTGTCAGGTTACGGTTAAAGTGCCCTCCTCTGTGATACAAGAATTGTCAGGTTAGCTTATAGTGCCCTCCTCTGTGAAACTAGAACTGTCAGGTTACGGTTATAGTGCCCTCCTCTGTGATACTAGAATTGTTATGTTACGGTAATAGTGCCCTCCTCTGTGATACTAGAATTGTCAGCTTAGCTTATAGTGCCCTCCTCTGTGAGACTAGAACTGTCAGGTTACGGTTAAAGTGCCCTCCTCTGTGATACTAGAATTGTCAGGTTAGCTTATAGTGCCCTCCTCTGTGAAACTAGAACTGTCAGGTTACGGTTATAGTGCCCTCCTCTGTAATGCTAGAATTGTTAGGTTACGGTAATAGTGCCCTCCTCTGTGATACTAGAACAGTTAGGCTACGATGATAGTGCCCCCCTCTGTGATGCTAGAATTGTCAGGTTACGGTTAAAGTGCCCTCCTCTGTGATACAAGAATTGTCAGGTTAGCTTATAGTGTCCTCCTCTGTGAAACTAGAACTGTCAGGTTACGGTTATAGTGCCCTCCTCTGTGAGTGCCCTCCTCTGTGATACAAGAATTGTCAGGTTAGCTTATAGGCCCTCCTCTGTGAAACTAGAACTGTCAGGTTACGGTTATAGTGCCCTCCTCTGTGAAACTACTGTCAGAATTGTCAGGTTAGGTTACGGTAATAGCAGGTTAGCTTATAGTGCCCTCCTCTGTGAAACTAGAACTGTCAGGTTACGGTAATAGTGCCCTCTTCTGTGATACTAGAATTGTTAGGTTACGGTAATAGTGCCCTCCTCTGTGATACTAGAACAGTCAGGCTAGAATTGTCAGGTTATAAAGTGCCCTCCTCTGTGATACTAGAATTGTCAGGTTAGCTTATAGTGCCCTCCTCTGTGAAACTAGAACTGTCAGGTTACGGTTATAGTGCCCTCCTCTGTGATACTAGAATTGTTAGGTTACGGTAATAGAGCCCTCCTCTGTGATACTAGAATTGTCAGGTTAGCTTATAGTGCCCTCCTCTGTGAAACTAGAACTGTCAGGTTACGGTTATAGTGCCCTCCTCTGTGATACTAGAATAGTCAGGTTACGGTTAAAGTGCCCTCCTTTGTGATATTAGAATTGTCAGGTTAGCTTATAGTGCCCTCCTCTGTGATACTAGAACAGTTAGGCTACGGTAATAGTGCCCTCTAGAATAGTCAGGTTACTCCTTTGTGATATTAGAATTGTCAGGTTAGCTTATAGTGCCCTCCTCTGTGATACTAGAATAGTCAGGTTACGTTGATAGTGCCCTCCTCTGTGATACTAGAACAGTTAGGCTACGGTAATAGTGCCCTCCTCTGTGATACTAGAACTGTCAGGTTACGGTTAAAGTGCCCTCCTCTGTGATACTAGAATAGTCAGGTTACGGTTATAGTGCCCACCTCTGTGATACTAGAATAGTCAGTTTACGGTTATAGTGCCCTCCTCTGTGATACTAGAATTGTCAGGTTACGGTTAAAGTGCCCTCCTCTGTGATACAAGAATTGTCAGGTTAGCTTATAGTGTCCTCCTCTGTGAAACTAGAACTGTCAGGTTACGGTTATAGTGCCCTCCTCTGTGATACTAGAATAGTCAGGTTACGGTTAAAGTGCCCTCCTCTGTGATACTAGAATAGTCAGGTTACGTTGATAGTGCCCTCCTCTGTGATACTAGAACAGTTAGGCTACGGTAATAGTGCCCCCCTCTGTGATACTAGAATAGTCAGGTTACGGTTAAAGTGCCCTCCTTTGTGATATTAGAATTGTCAGGTTAGCTTATAGTGCCCTCCTCTGTGATACTAGAATAGTCAGGTTACGTTGATAGTGCCCTCCTCTGTGATACTAGAACAGTTAGGCTACGGTAATAGTGCCCTCCTCTGTGATACTAGAACTGTCAGGTTACGGTTAAAGTGCCCTCCTCTGTGATACTAGAATAGTCAGGTTACGGTTATAGTGCCCTCCTCTGTGATACTAGAATAGTCAGGTTACGGTTAAAGTGCCCTCCTCTGTGATACAAGAATTGTCAGGTTAGCTTATAGTGTCCTCCTCTGTGAAACTAGAACTGTCAGGTTACGGTTATAGTGCCCTCCTCTGTGATACTAGAACTGTCAGGTTACGGTTATAGTGTCCTCCTCTGTGATACTAGAATTGTCAGGTTACGGTTAAAGTGCCCTCCTCTGTGATACAAGAATTGTCAGGTTAGCTTATAGTGCCCTCCTCTGTGAAACTAGAACTGTCAGGTTACGGTTATAGTGCCCTCCTCTGTGATACTAGAACTGTCAGGTTACGGTTATAGTGTCCTCCTCTGTGATACTAGAATTGTCAGGTTACGGTTAAAGTGCCCTCCTCTGTGATACTAGAACTGTCAGGTTACGGTTAAAGTGCCCTCCTCTGTGATACTAGAATTGTCAGGTTACGTTTATAGTGCCCTCCTCTGTGAAACTAGAATTGTCAGGTTACGGTTATAGTGCCCTCCTCTGTGATACTAGAATTGTCAGGTTACGTTTATAGTGCCCTCCTCTGTGATACTAGAATTGTCAGGTTACGTTTATAGTGCCCTCCTCTGTGATACTAGAATTGTCAGGTTACGTTTATAGTGCCCTCCTCTGTGATTCTAGAATTGTCAGGTTACGTTTATAGTGCCCTCCTCTGTGAAACTAGAATAGTCAGGTTACGTTTATAGTGCCCTCCTCTGTGATACTAGAATTGTCAGGTTACGTTTATAGTGCCCTCCTCTGTGATACTAGAATTGTCAGGTTACGTTTATAGTGCCCTCCTCTGTGAAACTAGAATAGTCAGGTTACGTTTATAGTGCCCTCCTCTGTGATACTAGAATTGTCAGGTTACGTTTATAGTGCGCTCCTCTGTGATACTAGAATTGTCAGGTTACGTTTATAGTGCCCTCCTCTGTGATACTAGAATTGTCAGGTTACGTTTATAGTGCCCTCCTCTGTGATACTAGAATTGTCAGGTTACGTTTATAGTGCCCTCCTTTGTGATACTAGAATTGTCAGGTTACGTTTATAGTGCCCTCCTCTGTGATACTAGAATTGTCAGGTTACGTTTATAGTGCCCTCCTCTGTGATACTAGAATTGTCAGGTTACGTTTATAGTGCCCTCCTCTGTGATACTAGAATTGTCAGGTTACGTTTATAGTGCCCTCCTGTGTGATACTAGAATAGTCAGGTTACGTTTATAGTGCCCTCCTCTGTGATATTAGAATTGTCAGGTTACGGTTATAGTGCCCTCCTCTGTGATACTAGAATTGTCAGGTTACGTTTATAGTGCCCTCCTCTGTGATACTAGAATTGTCAGGTTACGTTTATAGTGCCCTCCTCTGTGATACTAGAATTGTCAGGTTACGTTTATAGTGCCCTCCTCTGTGATACTAGAACTGTCAGGTTACGGTTATAGTGTCCTCCTCTGTGATACAAGAATTGTCAGGTTACGGTTATAGTGCCCTCCTCTGTGATACAAGAATTGTCAGGTTACGTTTATAGTGCCCTCCTCTGTGATACTAGAATTGTCAGGTTACGTTTATAGTGCCCTCCTCTGTGATACTAGAATAGTCAGGTTACGTTTATAGTGCCCTCCTTTGTGATACTAGAATAGTCAGGCTACGGTTATAGTGCCCTCCTTTGTGATACTAGAATTGTCAGGTTACGGTTAAAGTGCCCTCCTCTGTGATACTAGAATTGTCAGGTTACGTTTATAGTGCCCTCCTCTGTGATACTAGAATTGTCAGGTTACGTTTATAGTGCCCTCCTCTGTGATACTAGAACTGTCAGGTTACGTTTATAGTGCCCTCCTCTGTGATACTAGAATTGTCAGGTTACGTTTATAGTGCCCTCCTCTGTGAAACTAGAACTGTCAGGTTACGTTTATAGTGCCCTCCTCTGTGATACTAGAATTGTCAGGTTACGTTTATAGTGCCCTCCTCTGTGATACTAGAACTGTCAGGTTACGTTTATAGTGCCCTCCTCTGTGATACTAGAATAGTCAGGTTACGTTTATAGTGCCCTCCTCTGTGATACTAGAATAGTCAGGTTACGTTTATAGTGCCCTCCTCTGTGTTACGTTTATAGTGCCCTCCTCTGTGATACTAGAACTGTCAGGTTACGTTTATAGTGCCCTCCTCTGTGATACTAGAACTGTCAGGTTACGGTTATAGTGCCCTCCTCTGTGATACTAGAATAGTCAGGTTACGTTTATAGTGCCCTCCTCTGTGATACTAGAACTGTCAGGTTACGTTTATAGTGCCCTCCTCTGTGATACTAGAATGTCATACGTTTATAGTGCCCTCCTCTGTGAACTAGAACTGTCAGGTTACGTTTATAGTGCCCTCCTCTGTGATACTAGAATAGTCAGGTTACGTTTATAGTGCCCTCCTCTGTGATACTAGAATAGTCAGGTTACGTTTATAGTGCCCTCCTCTGTGATACTAGAACTGTCAGGTTACGTTTATAGTGCCCTCCTCTGTGATACTAGAATAGTCAGGTTACGTTTATAGTGCCCTCCTCTGTGATACTAGAATAGTCAGGTTACGTTTATAGTGCCCTCCTCTGTGATACTAGAATAGTCAGGTTACGGTTATAGTGCCCTCCTCTGTGATACTAGAATAGTCAGGTTACGTTTATAGTGCCCTCCTCTGTGATACTAGAACTGTCAGGTTACGTTTATAGTGCCCTCCTCTGTGATACTAGAATAGTCAGGTTACGTTTATAGTGCCCTCCTCTGTGATACTAGAATAGTCAGGTTACGTTTATAGTGCCCTCCTCTGTGATACAAGAATTGTCAGGTTACGGTTATAGTGCCCTCCTCTGTGATACTAGAATTGTCAGGTTACGTTTATAGTGCCCTCCTCTGTGATACTAGGATTGACAATGTTTGTATATGGGATTAACTGAATTGTTATGACTCTACCAAATTTATAATGGGTTGTTTGCTATGTTTACTCTTCATGTGGTGTCATATAATTGTTCACATACGCACAAATGCCACAGTTGGTAAGATCTAGACAGAAGCGGGGATCGGAGGAAGAGGTCAATATATAGAACGACGTCACAAATTTAATTGTTCCAGAAGTAAGTTAGATATCTTTCTGGTGCAACTTTTTAGAAGTCTTTCTCGTAGCATTCTCTGGTCTCTAGCATCACTGACGAAGCATTGAAACAACTGTATGCTGTATTTTAATTCAACATTTGTAATATATGAATAATCTTTTAACTATCTATATGATAGGTACTTATCATTTATGCATAATTTTTAAAATGGTATGCGAGCACGGGTTATAGGGAAGGCAGTATACACAGCTTATCAGTTTAAAAGACATCTTTCCTCAATTGTTGTCTTTTTATAGGAATAGTGATGCTCGGGAGGTTGCCTAATATGAAAACAACGTTACAAATTTCATCAAAACTCATATAAATCATGAACGAATTATCTGAGCAATTTTTGGGAAAATCCCCACTGATTTTTTATATTAATATTGTCTACCGAACAAGTTAAGTCAGAATATGACAGATACATTAATGTTTAACAGTAAAAATAAATTAACCACATATACCCGCCCAAACAAATTATTTGCTTGTGGGTAACCTTAATCAGGGTTACATCCACACATTCGTCATAAAACCTCGGTTTTTTATTACCTGAACACATCTCTGACTTTCTCAAACCCGTCCTTGACAAATCCGTCAACGTAGGGTGTTTCTTTGGTCTCTGTCCCGTCAGCCATCGTGAATGATCGGTTGATTGTGTGAACTCCGCTCTCTTGTCATACACAATCTTCCCTGTCCACACCGCTTTGGACTATGTACATGTTATCACAATTATTCGTAGTACAGACATGTACTCTAACCTGATGGCGCATAAAGCTTTTATTTACTTTAAAACAAAGGTGGGGAAAATGAATGTTCATTTCTCGGTTTACCTATTCAAAATTTATACATGAATTCTAAAGTGTCTTGTTACCGGTCTGTAGTCTCAATGGCGGGTACTCAAGAATACAATACTAATTTTCGACAGGCGATATCACCATTGGGATGATGTGTGTTGTATTTCCTTGGCGGATGTTAAAAAAACATGTGGAAATACCGACATGTAATCAGAATTTAAATTTAAATTTAAATTGGAATTGGAAACTAGTGCAAATATGAAAAAAAATATGATAATAATAACCTTTATTCATTTTACAACAATTGCGAAGCAAGTTTTTCCAACTTATATAAATCACTCCTGTTGGCGCGGATGGAAGCGTTAGAGGGGTCTCAGTGTGGGAGGAAACCGGAGAACCCGGCGAAAACCCACGTGGTCGGGCAGGTGACCCTATACATTTTCACATCCATTCTGGGAATCGAACCCCGGACGGCTAGGTGAAAGGTGGGTGCGTTACGACTGCGCCACCCGACCAGGTTTTCGGGAACTTCTGCTTCATCATCGAAGACACCCGGCATGTAAATCTTGGTAAATCCAAGTAAGTAATGTCACGTTCTCAAAAAAGAATAGGAAAAAAACAAAAACAAAAAAACGCTATCACTAGTCTAACCACAAACTTAAGATCAACCTGGCAAAAGCACAAGAAACACCATTATGAAGGATGATGTCATGATAAGATTTTTCACATATGAAACAAAAATAAGATATGACACTGATTTCCTTAATGTCATTTTTAAACTAATATGCATTTTTGTGTCTAATTCTCTTTTTCTTATACTATACTGCTCTGTTAGGAAACTGACGTCACCCCAGACTCTTCTAAACCAGTGGCTTTTCTCAATCACTAACTGCAATATAATTATCAGGGACAAAAACACTGACTTGTATAATTAGCTTAATGATTGAAATTTCCTCTTTAATCTCGCTATTCCATTTTACATTAATTTGGTCAGCATTTTCTGTCTTTCTTTATCCCAATATCACTACATCTACCAGAAAAAATAGGTTTGGGTGTAAAATTGTGATTTTCATTAAAATGCGTTTTCATAAGTTTGTGCTAAAAGAGTGATATTATCAAAACGTTTTAATGATGTTACTGCTTGCGTAGTGACTTAGCGTTTGAAATCCAAACACGAACAGTATTCAGACGAAAATGTTGAATTTGTGTTTTTCAGCAATCGATATGTCGACGGTGTATAGCAACGAAGGACAAAAATTATATGAATTCATGTGTAAAAACTATACCAGTCTGTCTATTGTTTGACACAGACTGATCAGCATTGTGTACTTAGTTTTATCCCTCCTCACTGATTGCATGTTCGGTATTCTGCATTATTGAGAACCCATCTTATTTATCATACAGTCGACTTTTCTTTACATAAACGTTTATTATTTAATTGTTAACGTTATACCTGTGTCCTTGTCCAAATTACTTCACTACAGGTCAACTACTCTCAATGATCTTCTAGTTAGTTTGTTTCAAAGTCCACCAAAGTTTTCTAGTACCAAACACCATATCACGACATGTTTAATAAAAACTTACATTTGTTCTTGTATTTTGTATCCCAACCACATTCAATACTGCATATTTCCACTTAAATTTTTGGGTTCATCTGACCTTATTTCATCAATTCTATGAATCAGTTTCGTGACGTTAAAAACACCGTTTATTCTTCCAGGTCTCATGTTAAAACAGTCTGTTATTTAAACCCCCAGTAGATGCACAAGACAAGCATATTATCCCCATTTGAATTTTGTAGCTTAAAGTGATTAAATATTGAAATATAACAAAAATCAACGAAGACCAATTTCGGAAAATTTCTGTACGAAACTACCCCTCATCTTCCATAGGCCATTACAACCGGAAGTTGATTGCACTTCACAGTGCTGTCGATCAATGTGTCATCAAACATCAGACGTCATCAAACAAGAACAATCACAACATAACAAAATTATCTAACTTAAAATATTTTACTGCATACATGAATTTGAAACAATATGTTGCACAACATTATTCACACGTATAAATCCATAATATTATAACATTGAAAATACAGCAAAGACAGGACCTCAGATAAGTTTCAATAATGATGAGATAGATAATAGAATTCTTTTCATTTCACTGAGTCTCTGTGAAGTTGAAAAACAATGAAAATAATTCATTTGATTGAAGTTGAATATAATTTCTATAAAAAAAAGTAATCTATGAATTCTGCTTGTCCTGTGCAGCCTTTAGTTGGTCGGAGTTTTCTAAAATTCTCCGTTTGGCAGATATGTTTTTTATCTTATACACACACTCGTACAGTGCGTCATAAAGATCTTTCCAACGTTTCTCCTCGTCCATGTCTGGATTTACGTGATTTGATCCGAATGCAAAACCAATTTTATGGGTAGGGTCTGCAATGGCCATCTGACCTCCAAATCCTGCATGTCCAAAGGACATCTGAGGCTAGAAACGGAAGAAAATGGTATTGAATGAAACTAATGGGTTTTTTGTGCATTCTTTTTGGTGTAAACTTAATTTTTGGAATTTAACGATATTTTTGATAACTTAAATATAAAGATAAAGAAAATAAAATGATTCACATTTTAAACGTCTTGTAGGTGTTTGAATTTTAAACGGCTTTGTCGAATCAAATTTTCAAGTGATCATGGGGATTTCCTTTAAGCCGTTCAATAGTTTGATAAGTTTCTGCATAAAACGGGCGTACGTACCGGCTGATCATCGTCCACTGCAGCAAATACCATGGTCCCAAGGCTAAAGAGTGTCTCTATACCATACACTAGGTCTTTCCCAGTGGTCCTGGGTACCTGCTGCCGTTTAATTGCCTCTTCTGACAACAACCTTTTACCGTTGTGAACCCCGCCATTAGCCAAAATGCTGTGGAATTTAGCCAGGGAAGCGGCGGTGCCATGTCCCATGGATGACCCCACGGGGACTTCTCTTATATAAGGACTGTTAACAAACTGAATTTATAGAAATTTTCATCAGAGTTACCGTTGTTTTTAAACGCCCTTTTTCAAATAAAGAGAAACAAAGACGTTCTGAAGAAATATGAAAATGATATCGACATCAGTATAGAGAACGACCAACCAAAAGCTACATTCCAAAAACAATGGGAAAGATGGCCTCCGTTAATTGTTTTCGTTGGTAACGATTTTTTTGAATGCATTTCCTGTCGAATTACTTGTTTATATAGATAAATATATATTCAATGTTTATGATATGCACTGATGATACCGTGTAATTACTTGTAAACCCTGAAGGCTTACATTCTATGCTTAACTCACACTAACATTTCCTTCAGTATTTCTTATTTCAGAATATTTTATTGTCTTGATGTTGGTGACAAATGGAATTGGGAAACAGGCAGAGCCTATGAAAGCCCGCTCCATACAAATTAAACAAGTAAACAGACATATCAATCAAAATTTAAGATATTAAATAATAATGATAGCATTCCAGGAAAAGAATTTAGAATACAGATTCAGTTGAATAATTATCTAACAGAAATGTCAGGCAAGCATTACCATAATTTAAATTATAGTGTGAAAGAATAGTAAGATTAGATAGGTAATATAATTATTTATAACAAGATGGAGTCAAAGTTTGTCAATTGATCAGGGCACAGGCTGCAGTACACGGAAACTGTGAAGCATTGTAAACATAACAAACTTAGCCATGCTTGGTAATGGCACAACCACAAGTAAATAGTAGCCATGTATATGCTTTAGAACAGTACACAAGGAATACTTTTTCAATCATCATTGTTTTACAAGAACAGAAGCATGCTTCAGATCAAGGTAGAATAGCATAATGTTTTAAAAACAATTCTAAAAGTTACAAACGTGATATATTTAAACTCAATGCATTGTTTTTGATGTGTAACCCCTGTATTTTCCGCTATCGGAAGTATGAAGCTCCCACGGGGCTCCAGGTGTGAGAAGGGTGTATGAAAAGATCCTGGGTATTTTTTAACACACTTTGGTTTGTCGTGACTTTGAGAAATTATACACCAACAGAAAACAAAAGATTAAGAAGTTTTGGATTCAGAAATTGTATGATATAAACATTTTATCATTTATTTTCACAAATTTATCTGGCAAAACTAGGCAAATGTTGAAGTTGTTAGAATATATAGCAAATTAATACTTCAGGAGAATATTTGGAACTGCGTAAAACATATCATATATTATCATTTTAACTTAAATTATCAATTAAAAAAAAATACATTTCTCGGTCCAAAGTTTCATCACTAACTTTAGTTAAAAAATATATTGTGGCACAAACAGAAAAAAAGAAAGAATGGGCAGATTGTGTAAAATGTGCCATGAAGGATAAGTTGAAGATTCACTTCATACTTGGATGTCCCTTGAACCGGACACTTATATACTGTCAAACCTCGTTATCTCGAACTCCAATCATTTCGTAGATCCCTGCCTAACCTTACTCAAAATATTCGAGCTCACTTGAACCGAATAATTGGTTCCCATTGTCCTACCGAGTTCGATATAACGGAGTTCGACGGTTTGCGTTTGGGAAATCAATACAGTGGTATCTTGTTCATAATTTGAAAGAAATACCTTTGCGAAATTATTTTCATAACGAAATGGAAATGTGTATGGTTCTCAAGTGGATAACCAGTTGGCGAATTGTTCGTTTCTCCTAACATTTGTATTTTCGAAAAAAAAATTTTTTGTTTATTTCACCGGCATTCGGAAACCAAAAAATTGAAACTTAATTTGGCATTGAGTACACCTTATTCAGTGTGTTTAACAAGATATTTACCATGCCATCCGGGACGGTATTGTTGACAATCTCAGTTATATCCGGGCGGTCGGCTACCATTTTCTTCATCACTTCCTCTACATTGCTAGATCCCATCAAGGCCATCCGAGGGGCTCTGTAGAAGAGTTCCTTAGGAAGCCCAATATAAAATTCGATATCTGAAAAAGTCATGGTTATTGTTATGATTTAGGATTCGATGTAAAAATTACATTGTCATATCTCAGTATTTGTTACCAGAGAAAATTCAGTTCACTACCGCTGTCTTGAATGTAAAGAGTCACTTTCGACATCGTATCACTATCTTGATGATAATGTTAAATAAGAAAATAACTTATTGGAACACGAATTGAAACGGCGTCAGAAACTGAAAAAGACCCATGTATTTCGATACAAGTAAAAATGGTATGAATTTCACTTGTTCAAGAGAAATGTACATAAATAGGTTTTAGTTTACTTGATAATTCAAATAATACATAGAAAATTAATGTTAAAACATTATCTTACTAGTTTTTTTTAATATCATCGAGAGTTAATTTTCTAAAAATAAAAACGCTATAGGAACCAACCGAACGGCTTGGCCATCTCATCGTTGAAGTATTGAGAGAGACTTCGTCCCTCTGGATCTACCCTCCTCACAATTTGATCTAAATATAGGGCGAAGGTCAAAGGGTGGTAGCCATGTCTGGTGCCTGGTGAAATAATTATAAACAGAAGTATTTGATACTACAATACGAAGAATTGTCATTATGGATTTACTCCATTGAGAAATAAACAAATTCCAGTACTTAACTTTCCTTCAGGTGATGGTTTTTTGTAAGGTTAGCTTTTAGACCTATCCGATAAAGGCGTCAGAATATGTGTAACAGGAACAAAATTAAATTTCACATATCATTGTTATTGCTTTTCTGAATAGTATGATTCAATAGTAATATGCTTTGCTATACGGGAAAAAGACAAATGAAAATGCAAATCTGCACACTGACCAAAATTTTAAAAAGGACGTAAACCCTTTATTTGAAATGTTCCAGTATTTAAAGCTTGGATAGAGAAATTTTCGAGGATATTTTCTGCTTAAAAAGAGGGTTTACGTGTTTTATTTTTTCACCGGAATGGCCAATTTTCACAAGATCGAGAAACAAGCTGTATGATTTGGGTTTTTTTTTTGTTCTAAAAATCATGAAAAGTGGTCCATCAAGTCGAAATTTACAATTTTGAAATCTGTGATTTATGCAGAAAATTAATTGAAATTTATCTTAATATTTCAGAGTCATACTCAAGGGAAAAGATGAAATTGTTGAAACTGTTAAACAAATTACGCTGTAAAAATATAATTTACAAGCGGAATTTCTTCATTCTTCTGTTGTCATATAGAAAATCTCTTTCAGCATGTAAGCAAGGTATATAAAATTACAAAAATCCAGGATATCAGGTTTGAATTTATTTTTACATCAAATTATGTCCTACGTCTGGTCAAACATTAGAGAGGACTACATACTTAATGGACATATCTGTGGTGACACATATCGATAGTGTGAGAAATATAACATTTAATTTCAAGGACTATTTGCAATATTTCCTTTTAATCTTTTGTCTTTATTTAATTGTTTTACATTTACCCTGTATCTATTATTCCTTGTTTATAACTTGATCATTACATATGTAGTTGCTTTTTTGAAATTGTACTTAATCATAATTCTGCACATGTGATTAAGACACATTTCAATGATAAAGATAAATAAACATAATTACCTTGACGGAGTGATCATCATTTTTGTTTTAGATATTGTAAATATGGGTAAGACAAAAACACAAAAAACTTTTAAAAATATCAGAAATCCGAAATCTTTAAGAATGAGATCAACATCAATTTTGAAGAATATATTTTTGTATACATAATCATTCGTATTAATAACTTATGTACCTGGTTCCCATAGAGGCTTCTGTTTGGCTAAAACTTCTGAACATTGTTTGGGGTCATCAAGAATAATTCTGAAAGAAAACGGTTCTTCGTTCCCGCTAAGACCAGCCTATATAGAATTGATGCATATACATGGAATTATAAAATGATATAAAATGGAAAATTGTAAAATGAAAAAAAGTTTCAAATACCTCAAAATTTGTGTGTATGTTACGTCTTCGAGAACCTGTACAGTTATTCTGTTCAATATTTTGACTAAATTATGAAGTTAACATAAAATTAGGTTGGATGACTTTTATCGTCCGATAACCTTAAAACACGATTATATTAATTTGATGTATTTTAGTACTAACGGCCCATGATTTGTCAAATTTCAAATCAGATGAACGTCAATGATTGCTTTGCTTCCTATGAAATAACACCCCTACCTTGTTGGAGATGTAAGTTTCCAGAGTGATGTTCTCTTTGCCATTCTGTCCAAACTCTGGCCAATATGTGGATATTTTTTCACCATAGTCTAAAAGCCCTCTACAAGACATATAAAAAAGGATAAGATGTAGACAAAGAGGTAGAATATACCAAATTGTGTTAAGTTCAGCTTGGTAGTTGAAAACATTGTTTATGATATGATAATACGATGTTCACTTGTGTGAAGTACTGGAGAATGACGGCATCGCCTCAAACAAAGCATAGCATGACGGCGAGTCATTACAGGGATGATGAAAATATATGCTATAACAAAGAAGTTCCATTTACATCTAAACTTGGCCTTAAACTAAGACTCTACTAAACCAAGACCAAGACACTATCTCTCTTTACTGTATAACGTGTTAACTAAGAATGGCTTCACCATGCCTCACGATTCTTGACTAGTGTCCGCTCTACATGGCTCCTTACGTTTCGGATTTACAACGGGAATTAATGATTTCAAAGATATGACTTTAAAATTACACTTGCCTTCCTCACGAGAACAATTATCGTCTTGTAAAATGTACTTTGTTTATGCACATTTATCGGGAAAACAAAAACTCAAATTTCATAAAATTAGGGCAAAATATGATTTAAAGAACACTTTACACGAGGACTCCTAAAAAAGTACCAGGAGAATGAGACCAAGTATTCCGGAAGGGTAAACGTCTTCTGCATCATTGACGACACTCGCCATGTGAACATTGGTCACAAAAAGTAATTTTATAAGTAATGTCATGTTTTCGAATGAGAACAAGGGGTACAATAACGGAACCAACACGAAACCAACGATCAGCAAAGTACTCCAGCTTCATATCGCCCCATGTAGCAAAATATTTTTCAATAAGTTTAGTAAGAGGTAAAGTTTTTAAATCGTCTCTGTATTATACATGATACAGACGCAGATTATACAAAAGATCATTTGTTGGAAGAGGATACGTGCTAATAGAGTTTGTACACGTCCAGAACACTGGTTATACAAATATAAATTTCAATGTATTGAAAGATTTCTAATTCAGAGATATAACATTATATACAAGGACGAAGGGAAAGAAAAATCGATTGAATTTTATAATAGACTCGGTTTTAGCAACGTTGTTGTGTTGTGTATGATCCGGATTAAATTACAATATTTACAATGATAACAACTCGCGGTTTTAGCCTTGTGAGATATATATTACCTGTCTACAAGGTGAGCTATCACAAGGGCTGAAGGACTTTTTGTAGAGGAAAAGAAACACGGCATTGTGTCCTCTCTCCATTTCATTCCAGCCTCCATCTCCACCCAGCCTCCCCATAGGTTAACGACCAACTCTCTTTCATAGTAAACCGCTACGGAACTGCCTTTATCAGAACCATTCTCCAAATTGGCCCTGTGAACAGCAAAACATAACTTTTGTTCTTTTTTCTATATATATAATTTTTAAATGAAATATTTCTCTTTACTTTTAATCATGCCGTTATCAACTGGAGGTTATCTAATTATATAAAATTGAAGATCATGAACTCAATTTCTCAAAACCTGTTAATCACACGTTTTCAAACGATCCCGACAAAATGGATGAACTATATAAACATTGTGTCATTTTAAAATAGTTCGAAGACGTGAGACTAAATCTACTTGATTCATGTTAACACTAAGATCATTTATGACCTACAAAACGTATTTTCAATCTTAAAAATTGTAATGGAATTATATCCATCAAAGTTACACATTTACTGTCTCGTCCATTGTGAGTCATCAAACGATTTACCTGAACACATCTCTGACTTTTTCAAATCCATCTTTGACGAATCCGTCGACGTAAGGTGCTTCTGGTGTTTCTTTCACGTCAGCCATCGTGCAGTCGTCGGTAGGTATGACCTTACCCAGCTATGGACTTCAGTATATCAGAGTAATTGTTATCATACACACGTACCTGAGTATCTGTTTAGACACCTTTGAATAAACATGTATGTACGGTTTACTCTCATAGATAAAATTAGACATGGCGCGTTACGTCTAAAGCTTCGGTTAACTAGTATTAAGACGTGTACATTACTTAATAACGATAAATTTTACTCTAATTTGAATTTGTCTTTAAATGTTTTGTTTAAACGAATATTAAAGAAAGCTTTAAAAAAAAGATTAACCTATTTTATCATGTTCACATTACGTCATAGGTATCCGCTATAGTCATTATCATATAACTTCATATGTGCCTGCTATAATCATTATCACATTACCTCAGTGGGTTATCGATTTGCCCACTTTTCAGCAAACAATAGAAAGTGTTGGTTTTTACCTGAGTTCATTTACCTGCGATTCTACCTGTGTTACTTATATACCTTATAACTTTACTGTAACACTAAAACAGACAAACTTATTAATTTGATGAAATTTATTTCAAAATGTCACCTTACATACAGAACTTTCAGCATAATTTACATTTATTTTATTAAGCACTAACATGTTACATACTTGATATTATTTAGCAAAATACATACCATAAAATGTTATTCAGCACAATACATTCTTATATAGAAATTTTACATATATTTAAGGTATCAACATACATTTACTTTTATCATATAATTGTAAAATGATGAAATTGCATGGCGTTGAATCCGTTGAACTTCATTGGCAGCTTGGTTTTCCTGGAAAACTCTGATAATGTTGAATATGTTGGGGTGCGAGTGATGGACATTCCGCTTCAGTTTCCCATGTCAAGCTTCCAAGTTGTTGGTGGTGCGTGGTCCCTCGGTCTCGTAGTGGTTCCAGGTTTGGCGGTCTCCTTCAATCCATTGAGTGACGACGTAGTCGATGAATGGCGTAGTGTTTACGGGTAAGTCCACATCCTCCAGTTCTTCCAGTGATTTGAACCACACATTGTCCACTCTCTCCAGGGGTATCAGAGGCAGTACAGCTGCGAGGCAAACAAGGCTGATGTCATCATTCTCTCTGTAAAGTTGCTGGAGTCCGGTCTGTTTGGCTTTCCTCCAGATGCACTGTGCAAAATGGAAGAAACGGCCCTCGATGGTCACTCCAGGAAAAACGTGGCATAAAGCGTTGTGGGTGGCTGTCTCGCCGAAGGCTATTGTTGGACGGAGAGGTGGGAGGTGGAAGTTGGCCATCGTAGTTTTCAGAAGGGTCAGGAATCGGGTATACACCTGTTGAGTCTTCCTGAATAGAAAAGTGTAGAGGAGTGGGTACATCTTCCCGTCAATCGGTCCATGGATTGTGTAGATTTGGTAGAAGAGCTTAGGACAAGTGAAGAAAGTTCCATCGCATTGGTTGTCTCGAAGGTGGTAGTAGTGGGCAATGGTGATTTGAAAAAAAAATATCTGGCTTAGCTTGGAAGGTTGGCACAACATCAACTTGGAGAGATTAAAGTGAACTGATACAAGTAAAGACTGTTCACTTAATGATACACGTACCAATAGTGATCATAATAATAAATGGCTTACTTATCACCTGTAGTCATCAGTACATGTAATTATGATGGCTTACATCACTTCTCCTTAATGATATAAATAGCTTACATCACTTCTCGACGTTTGTACCCATAGCTTGGGTAATAATGGCCGTAATAATAATGTGCTTTAATTGTACCCTGAGAGGTCAGCTATGTTGACCTTGAAAAATAGTTCTGCACATAAAATACACTATGCCGAAAACGCGAATGCCGTGGAATGTTCCGTTACTGAGAAATTGCGACTTTTCTGAAAAACACACCTTTGGCTGAGAGGCGTTGACCTCGTTTTCGGGCACCCAAACCTGTGACGTCAGAAGTTCAACGCTTTTGTTGATGCAGCCATATTGTCTTTACTGTGCTACATGTGATTGTGATCTATTTTGGGATTTTCCGTGGTAATTTCTTTGTTTATTTACGTGAAAGTACTTCACATCTTCGCAATATCTAAGGTAGTGAACGAGGGGTCGGTGAATTAGCGCTTAAATCCGCTAAAATGGCTTCCTATCGAGGAGGGAAGCGGTGTGTATGGTTGTCCTAACACTAACACGGATGGGGTATCGATGCATGACGTCGATAAATAAAACTGATTGTTGATTAAATAAAAGTATATTTGTTAGGTTGATATTCTGTTATTAATTCTACAACTAAACATTTTAAATTGATAGGCTAGCCTATGACTTGGGCGGTCATAGGAATATTATTCCTTCGTAATCGTGAACGCCTAATACTCGGAGAAGGCCTAGTCGTGAATGGGTCACGGGAATGTTCACCCCGAGAATTTTCATACTACTATTATATAGTATAGAATAGAATTATTACAATTTATAGAATAGGTTATGTGTGTATGTTGTTTGTATAAGGTGTATTTGGTTTTTAGATCTTCCAGCAGACGATGTTGTTTAGTTATTAATTTTGCGATCGTAAAAATAACAATAAGATCACCAATCTTGATTTGAAAACACAGTTCACAGTGTAGGGATGTCAGCTAAACTCATAATCACACCTGTGCCAGGTTAGGTAATTAGCACCTCTGTGGCTGGAAAAAACAATTGTGACACCTGTGAGGCGACACGCCTCTCGGCTAACAACAGACGCGTACCAGTGCTAGGGTAAAAACCAGTCAAATAATTGTTTAAACTTCTAAAACATCAAATTTTTATTATTAACACAGCGGAGGGTGTTATAATTGGTTGTTGACACCCTATCTATATATATCCATAGTGCTACGAAAATTCCCTGGAAAGAAAATTCCCCTCGGACGAAACTTCTTCGGTAAGAAAATTCCCGACACCTCGTGAATGTATGCATAGTCTTGCACAAACGCGATTTCCCGACGTCAGAAATTGTTGATCGAGACTTGAAGATAGTAAAATTAGTCCAAAACCACACCCAATTTTATTTTGTTTCTTTGAAACGACGATTCACTGTTCGACTACTTTCACGACTACTGGTGAGACCCAGTGAAGTACGTGCCAATCTATGTTGCCCAAGCGATCGTCACTTTTCGAAGGGTCATTTTCCTCCTCACTGGATACATCGTCTTGTAATTCCAGTTCAAGTCGGTAGGGCTGGATTCCGTCTTCAGACATATCATTCACACCATAATCAGACTCCTCAAAACTCGTGCTCAAATCGCTATCAGTTGCGGTGTCATTGTCACTGTCAGTCATGTTGACTGCCATTTCTGTTGAACTTATGACGTCACGAGTAGAAGAGCCTCGATTCCGCGGAAATGACGATTCGGCTGATTAGGTCTGGGCGGACAGGTGAAAATCGACAACTTTGAGCTTTAATAACTCGACACTGGGGCAACGGATTTTGACGGGGTTTTCATTATTATTATTTTTACGGCATTCTTAACATTATATCTAAATATAAAATTACTCTCAAGGTACACTTTAAGCTTTATTTATGATAAATGATATTCATACATATTTTAGAGGAGATGAAAACAGTAATTACGTAAAATTGGAATAAGTAACATTTCTGTATACTGTGTTTTGATACATCATTGCAGGGTGTTATACATATAATAATATATGTAACTCAGTTTTTCTTTGCTAACATTAGTATAGAACACGGGTAACCACAGGTAAAAAACACAGGTAAATACAGATGGGATAGTATGAAACAGACTATAATCCTTCTAACAACATTTCTCAATTTTTTGTTTTTATGAAAAGTGTGCAAATCGAGGTACAGCCATTACTTCACACGGTTCTGCTATAGTCATTATTTCATACTGTTCAATTATAGTCATTATCATATAACGTCATATGTGTCTGTTATAGTTATTATCACATTACTTCATATGTGTCTGCTATAGTCATTATCAGATTACTTCATACGGTTCAGTTATAGTCATTATCACATTACGTCATAGGTGTCTGCTATAGTAATTATCCCTTTACTTCATACGTGTCCGCTATAGTCATTATGACATTACTTCATACGTGTCCGCTATAGTCATAATCACATTACGTCATATGTTATCAGTTTACAAAAAATATTTTTTGTTTAAATTGATTTTTAACAAGGTGATGAACAACTTAAATTAAGGACAGATCATCGCACAAAATTAAAATCCATTCACACTTTCTCATAGAATTATGTTAATAATAATAATAACTCCATAATGAAAACAATGTTGATCATCATAGGTACAAAGAGACTTTATGTATTCATTTTAAATTTTTTTACACGTAAAGATTTTCGCAACCTCTTTTTACTTTATTAAAACCATTTAAATAATTTCAATGAAGATCTGTTTATGTATTCAGATCAGGTAAAACAGCTGGAGAGATGTTTAACGATAGCTTAGCAGCGTTAAATGTATCGAGTTTATTAACGTTTATATGTCTTCAGCGAGTGCATAAAAAGTATTTAAGATTTGAATATTTTCACATCACCCAACATGGATATGTAAATTTAATTAAAAAATTGTTCGCCTTATGTTTGTGTACTTACTGGCTCATCATCATCAACTGAAGCCAAAATCACGGTTTCAAGGCTAAACATCCGTTCCATTCCACACACCAGGGCCCGTATTAATGAAACCATTTTCATGCTCAAATATAAAGTTTGTGCTCAAGCAAACTTGTTTATTATTTACCTAAATCATATCAAATAATACAAATGTCAAATATAAACATTGATTATGACTTTGACTTGAAGTCCTTTCAAAATGGTTTTCAAATCTTCAGCATAATCAGCCTTATTCATCAATTCTAAGCTTAAACAAGACATCAGCCTTGAACACAAAATTCATGCTTGAGCATGAGAACGGTTTCATAAATATGGGCCCAGCTGATCTATTTCTCTGGTCCTTGGTATCTGCTGTCGTTTAATAGCCTCTTCTGACAATAATCTCTTCCCGTTGTAGACG